GAAGCCATCCATTTGTCCTTTCACACTGACACTTTAGGTTGACACATGCATCTTACAAAACTAAATGTGATTTGCAATTATTCCCATCAGTGGCAGTGTTAGTAGAAGAATCAAGAAAATGGACACTCTTCATATCTGAGTCATCATGATACATCCATAGAATGAGAGAGATCCTAGCCATCGTCTCATCCATCTTAGAGATGGAAAACTGTTAGGTATGGTGGTACATGCCCATAATCCCAGCACTTAGGAGGCTGAGGCAGAAAGATCACAGGTTCAAGGCCAATGTGGACTACATAACAAGATCCTGTCACAACTCCCCTCCAAATAAAAATAAAAATTGCAAAAACACAGAAAAGTCTAAGAGGGAAACAAATGTAGATTAATTAAAAATTATACTTTCAAGCTCTTTACACCTGCAGTCCCAGTACTTGGAAGGCTGAGGCAGAAAGATAGCCAGTTCAAGGTCAGCCTGGGCTACATAATGACCAGCCTAGAAAATTTAATGAGACTGTCTCAGAACAATGCAAAATTATATCTTCTAAATGTTTTTCTTATGCTTTAAACTTTACATTGCATGCATGGTTTATAACATATATATTAACATATAGATGTACATATATATGTGCAAGTTTTTTAGTCAAGAAAGCATGTGGACCCATGACTACAATTCCACTCCACTATAGCTTTTTCCCTTCTGCCCCTCACTAATCTACAAGTCTCTAGGTGGCAGGGACCATGGCTTTTGTTCCTTCCCTTACTGTAATAGCCCCACTACCACTAGGCTTCCAGGCCAGCAAGACTCCTAGAATGGACATACCTTGGCTCAAGGTGTATTCCCTGCTGTGTACACGTCTGGTGTGGACACACAAGGCCCACTAATATCAGCCTGCCACACCTCTCTTCCTCTGCGCACGGCATCTCCCTTCTGCTGGGAAATGCTCCTCCCAGGTTTCCCACCATGTAATTCACACATGAGCTGCCACTTTTTATTTTTGTACCAGGGATCAAACTCATGATCTTGTGCTTTCCAGGCAGGCCCTTATACTGCTGCACTAAATCCCTTTCTTTTTTTTTCCTGCCATCTGTTTATGTGGCAACTCAAGCCTGGTCACAGTGACTGAAGAGCAGGCACCTAACTCAGTCACAGCCTCTGAGCCTCCTGGTCATAGTAACTGAGCCAGGAGAGCCACGCAACCTGGGCTACATGAGCACATCCCTGAGATCCTTCCAAATGCACTGAGGGAACAGGCTGATGCCCTCTTGGGGGAGCCATGACCATATTGGTCAGGAACAGTGCTGTCCTGTTTGTCTTCAAGTCGTTTGAAAGGATGATGCCAGCGTATGGAGGTGCTCTAGAGACACTGTCTCGTGGGTTCAGGATTGGCTGCTTGACCGTTCCTTTGAATCTTTGAATGGTTCCACATTACTTTCAGAAAATTTCTCATTCTCCTTGGTTGACCATCAGTTTACACTGAGTGCAACCAGAAATATTCTGATAAAGGCATTATGGTTCTCTGTTTTCCAAACCAAATAGAAGGGCCCAAAAGGTGAGGCAGAGACAGGTGAGTGGCTTAGACATGGTCAAGACACAGGCCCGTTTGGGAAGTCTGATAAAGTATATCAGATCCATCTGTTTAATCAAAAACTATGTAAGTGTAAAAAGAAAACAGGTTTTAATGTACTGGTCAGAAGGATTACCAGATATCTGAAAAGAAGAAGTGAAGAACAAGATATTAAAATATTACCATATTGTACCATTTCTGCCAAAAAAGAGGGAGTATTAGAACATATATTGGGCCAAGAATTTAGCTTAGCGGCATAAGCACCTGCCTGGCAAGTGCAAGTGTGAGTTTGATCCCTGGTATAAAACATATATATATATGTGTGTGTGTGTGTGTGTGTGTGTGTATTTGGTCATAAGAACTGATAATTTTAATACCTCCAGGAACTGCATGACATGATTTGTTTTGTTTGATTTTTTTCTTTTTCAGACACAATCTTGCTATGTTGCTCAGGCTAGTCCTAACCTCTTGGGTTCAAATGATTCTCCTGCCTCAGCCTCCTAAGTTGCTGAGACAACAGGTGTGGCCATCACATCTGCATAGACTTTTTATTACATCCTCTTTTTCCACATTTTGAATTTTGAAGGCATGAATGTAAATTTTCTTCAAATCTTCATTCATTAACTGATTGGCTAAAAACTTGTATATAAGCTGGGTGTGGTGGTGCATGCCTGTAGTCCCAGCACTTGGGAGGCTGAGGTAGGAGGATCATTGTGAGTTCAAAACCAGCCTGGGTTACAGTGTGAGCTCAAGGCCAGCCTAAACTATATCTCGAGACCCTGTCTCAAAGACAACAACAACAACAAAAATGTGTATCAAATTCCTCTTAGCGAGAGAATGTTTTGTTTCAGCAGTTTTATTGGCTTTTATTTTTTCTAATGCAGAGCTAGTCCTCACTAGAGTTGGCTCTGTTGCGTATTTTATATTAACAGTTGGATGGAAACATTGGCACAGGCTGGTTTCCTGATGTGAAGTTTCCTCTTTTGTTCCTTACCTCCTCCCAGTAGCCAGGGACTAGATCTTGGACAGCTAGTTATGGTGCTCAAATCTGTGATTATAACATCATTTCCCAGTATGGTGTTTGGTTTATCCCTGCCTTCTCTGGACTTCTTGGTATATGTTACAGCTTGTGTCTAGATGTCACCCCAAAGCCTCATGCAGTCGTAGGTGAGGCTTTTTTAGAGGTGGCTGGATCTAGAGTATGTGATGCTGGAATTGATTCATGGTGCAAATGCTAGGGTCAAGGGCACTAGGATTAAGGTTGTGAGGCCTACCCACCCTGAGTAGCCTGAATAAAATAAGGAATAGGAAGAGCTGTGGTTGTCCCTTATTGCTTTGCTGCCTTCTATGTGCCATGAACTGTTTCTCTTCTGCATGCCCCTTTGTCGTGCCACTGTGCCTTGAAGCCAGCCAATTATGGACTGAAACTTCTACACACTGTGAGCTAAGTAAACCTTTCTTCTTCTTCTTCTTCTTTTTTTTTTTTTAATCAGTACTGGGGATCAAACTCATGACCATGGGCTTGCATGCCACTGAGCTAAATCCTCAGCCCCAAATCTTTCTTCTTTTAACTTCAAGTGTCAGGTATTTTGTCTGGGCAATAAGTAACTAGATAGCATCCTTATCAACCTCCTTGGAGACCTGGTACTATCAGCCTCTGAGTTCCAGAGGGGCTGGGACCGTGGCTCCTAGCCTCATCAGCAGCCTGCTTTGGGGACAGTCTGGGTGTTCAGGACCCTCCCTGGCCCGGCCATGGCCTCCAACTATGTGACCTGTAACTTTACACCCTGTGGCTCTAGCCACGCCAGTTTGCTTTCTTACAATCTCATCCTTATCCCTCACTGCCTTCCTCCTTTCCCTCTGCCCCATCCAACTCATGCTGCCAGCCCTAACTTCTCCATGCCTGACACCTAGAGTATCCTGCATTCCTACCCTTCCCATCACTCATTGTCAAGCCCATGCTACTGCCTTGTGAGTTCTCACCTTGTGTGGTTTTTGTCTCGATTCTAATTGCATGCACCCCAATGGTGCCCATTCTAATGTGCTATAAGCTAAAAATCCTAAATGTCACCATTTTTCTCAGTTCCAGGCACAGGGCTTATGACAGTATGATGCACCCGGGGCCTGTTCTGGGATCAGCTACATTCATGGTGCAACTTGGTGCAGTAGGACCCAGTGGAATAGGACTCAGGAACCCATACTTCGTCTTGGCATCTCTAGTATCTCTGATTTTGTTTGATGTTCTTGTGTGCAGTAAAAGAAATCCAGCATGTAATTCCCCAAGTCTCCACCTTCATGCAGCCATAGACTTTCTGGTGGTTCATTCTCTTCTATTAGATTTCAGGCTCACAGACAACAAAGACTGAGTCTCATACTTGCTGTTCTTTTACAGGTGTTCACTGTGTGTTGGATAATGACCCTGGCCTCCATCTATCTTCAACTTTATCCTCTTTCTACACAGTGAAATGCAAGAGCCTGAGGCTGTGAGCAGGAAGTTCCCTGAGCTGACTGCCCAGTCCTGCAGCCCCTGTATCTCCCTGTGCTGTCCTGAATGGGACCCTAATGTTCCCAGTAATCTGGTGGCAGAGCCAAAAAAGGACTCTCAACCCAGACATCCGCGCTCCCCACTGGAAACCTCCAGCCACCAGGGACAGGAAATTCAGAAAGCGCACCCTGAGGTGAGGTGAGGAAGTAAACTAAGACACCAAACAGGTTGGAAAGGAAACAGAAGCAGCTCTAGGTAGTGGATGGGCAGAGTTTCATGGGAAAGGTGTACTCTTCTTGTGTGTTTTCTTTACTATCTGAATTTTTACTACATGCATCAAAAATACACGCTGAGCGGGCTGGGGACATAGCTCAGCAGCACAGTGCCTGCCTGGCAAGTGTGAGGTCACGAGTCTGAATTCTGCTACCAAAAAAAATTAAAAAAAAAAAAAAAAAATACCCCCCCCCCACATAATTTTTAAAGGAAAATCAAAATCTACCTCCAAGCTTCAGGACATGAATTGCCAGCTCCCTGAGTGTCACCATCTTCACTAGGCTTGGGGACAGCTTACCAAAGACTCTCAGGGCCTGTGCTGGGGTTGCAGCCAATCACAGTATAGGCAACAGCTCTTGGTGCTACAGGACCATCGCATTTCTTTGGAATCAGTTTTCTGGGGGTAAAATAAGGGATCAGATGCAAGTTGGATGTTCAGATGTTTTCAACCTATACCTCAAGTGATTCCTCCCCAAATCTGGATCACATTTATCATGATTTAGATTATGAAAATACTAATTTTCTGCATCATCTTTGGAAAGCACCATAATACTCCCTGGCAACCAATTTCTGAACTCGAGTCCCCCTCTGTCCTCCCAGAACTCCACTGAACCCTGTGTTTTATCTCTTGTCTCTCCTTGTTTTCCAAAGAATGAAGAAACAACATTCCAGTGGACTGGATTCCAGTTCATTGAGGCTTTACTGTGGGGTGCCACGCTGGAGAACCCTCCAGCTTGGTGAACATGCAGTCTGCAATCTGGATTACCTTTTCTTTAATTTTAGGAATTCCCTTTGCACGGCAAAAAAAGAAAAAGAAAAGAAAAGAAAAAGAAAAAAAAGGCGGGGTGGAATCTGTGGGAGGTGGAGCAGCACAGACGAGCAGGTCAGAAGCAGAGCTCACAGATGTGCTGCCACCACAGACACAGCGCCACCCAGTGCTGGCTGTCCACTGCACCCCTGGGCTGGGAGAGAAGCAGAATCCATGGGAGGAGCAGGAAAAGCCATTTTTGACACAACTGAGGGTCCCGGGCTGTCACCCCACCCCAGTGTCTGGCCATGCAAGATGCTGAAATGGAAACTGTGGCCCCTGGGGCCACAATGCCCCAAGCCACGGAGCAATGCACCAATGGGAAAGGGAGTCCTTTGGGCGCTTCCCAAGGCGCCTGCAGGGGCACAGGACAGTAGAGTCTGTGTCCATGTCCATAAATATGGTCAGTGAACAGATAGCACCAATTGGGAGACCCAGGGCAGGAGACTGGGGCTCAGACTCTAGCACCCAGCTGCCCGGCTCTCCTGGGCAGACTCATTCTTTGATGGCTGTTTGAACCCGCAGCACCGCTGCCTCTGGAGGGTAGAGCCCTACTGTGCAGTGAAAAGCTTCTGCTGCACCAGATTCAGGGGCCAGGGGCTGGAGGTGGAGGGCAGGTCTGCGGACTGGACGCAAGTACCCAGGCACTGTGCCCAGGCATTTCAGTAGCCAGTCTGTCCCATGTTCCCAGTAACCCCAGGAATTGGCCCCTGATGCTTCTGATTTGTCAGGAGAGGGGTGGCCAAGAGGAAAGGGGTGGTAGAGAGAACAGGAAGGCCAGAGTGTCCCCTAAGGACGGAGGTAGGCAGTGTGTGTGCCGTGGGGACTTCACCACGCCCTTCTGGAGTGATCGTGGAGAACCCCACCTTCCCTGTATCTCCCTCTCCTCAGTTACCACATCAGGAAAACCCTACCACACCTCTCTCAGAGGGACAGGCTAAGGGTGAAAAGATAACGATAGAAAACACTTTTTAAAAAGTATAAAGCGCCATTAAAACGCGAGGCAGTGTCGTCCTGGGGATGACAGCACCCTTAGCGCATCCCTCGCCTCCCTTCCCATTCATTGCACCTTCATTTCCCTCTCCAGGGCACCCCCTACCTTAGGGTGGGTCTCACTTGCTTATTTTAGGCCGGTGTCAAAACTCCCCGGTTGCTTCCTCCATCATATCTGCAGCCCCTGTGGCCAATGGGGTCTCCCCTACCACCGTGGCTCGGTGGTCTGTGGGAGTGCGTCCACTGGCCCCTGCCCCTGGCCAGTCCTCTGGCACCTTCTCCGGCCACTCTTAGGAGATGTGCTGGGCTGTGCATTCAGGCAGGACAGGTCTGGGATATCCCTGCCCAGCCTTCGGGGGACCCTGTCTGGAGTGCAATCCCAGCGGATGGCGATAGGCGAGAGGGCGGGAAGGCGCCTGGAGCCTTCACCGCCCCCGCCCAGCCCTAGTCTCGCTCTGGCGGTGCTGGGAGCTGCCGCGGTGGGGCGCCCAGGCCCGGGCCCGTGCCATGCACACGCAGGTGGTCCTTGAGCGACTCCTTGTAGCGGAAGCTCTTGTTGCACTCGCCGCACGTGTAGGGCCGCTCACCCGTGTGGATGCGCTGGTGCTTGAGCAGGTTCTGCTTGCGGATGAAGCTCTTGCCGCACAGCGCGCACTGGAAGGGCCGCTCGCCCGTGTGCAGCCGCTGGTGGTTCTGCAGGTGCTCCTTGCGGCTGTAGGTCTTCTCGCACTCTGAGCACTTGTAGGGCCGCTCACCGCGGTGTGTCATCTGGTGGCGGATGAGCCCCGAGTGGCAGTTGAAGCTCTTCTCGCACTCTGCGCACTCATAGGGCCGCTCCTTGGTGTGGCTGCGGTGGTGGATGATGAGGCTCTTGCGCACCCCAAAGCTCTTGCCACACTCCGGGCACGAGTAGGGCTTGCTGCGTGCGCCACCGTGTGCCAGGAGGCTCCGCCGCAGACCACCGGGGCAGCAGCTACCGCAACCACCTCCAGCTCCGGGGCCTCCGTTGGGGCCCCCACTGCACCCACTGCCGCTGCCACCTGCGCCCCCCTCTGCGCCTGCCTGTGCCTCGCCTGCGCCACGGTCCCCGGGCAACACCGAGAAGCTGTCGTCCAGCAGTGCACGGCTGGCGGGGCCACTGGGGGTCTCAGGCACCGCCAGCGCCGGCAGGCTTTGCGGGTGCTGCTGGGGCTGGGGCTGGGACTGGGGTTGCGGAGGAGCTGGGGGTGGGTTCTTCACCAGCAGCAGGCTGTCACCTGGGGAGACACAAAGTGACAAGCTGACAGAGATTTGCTCCGACCCATGTTGTCTCCGCAAGGGGTGCATATTGCAGGCTCTTGGTTTCTCTCTCTCTTTTTGTGGGTACCAGGGATGAACAGACCTCAGTTTCTCTAAAATGAGGGCACAGAACAGGTAACAGGTGGCTGTCTGTACTGCCCTCCAACCTGTCAAAGCCACTGTAGCAGGGAGCGTTAGAAGCAGCCACTTGGGTACCAGAGGAAGAACAGGAAAGCCTTCCGAAAGCCCAAGGCTGAGAGAAGTAGGGACCTGCCACCCCAAGTCTCCTTGCTGGGAACAAGACTTGATTGTAGACTAGCAAACTGCAAATTTCTCTGCAGATTCTTTAGCAGGAGGCAAAGAATTTGCCAGAATTCATCCAAGGTGAAAACTCAACTAAGGCTTCTAGGGGTGGGACATGGGGAGCGGGGTCTATAACCCAGGCTGGGTGGCTGGAACAGCATGAGTTGCCCCTGGCCCCTGTCTGCCTCTCTGACTCCTGCCCTCACAGCTGCCTTTCCTCTCACCTTGGGTCCTTGAGTCCACAGCTCTCCACTGCTCTGGGCACCCAAGGGGGCCAATCAGGCTCTGGGGGCCATAATAGCCACCCTGGTACCCACCTAGAAAGTCCTCCCTATATATAGGAGACTTCTGCCTCCACCTCCATCTCCTCCTCAGAGTCCAGTCAATTCCCCTAGCCTGCTAAGTCCCCTCCCCAGCTAAGGCAACCTGTAAAGACCTGAAGAAAGTGACCTCTACCACTGCCACCTGTTCTGGTGCCCTTTCTGTCCTCTGCGCCTTGCTTGAGGCCATGGACAGATGCCAAAATAATCTGCTGTCCTTGATTTGAATTCTTTGGAGGGGCTACCGTCCTGCACACAGCCCTTGCCTGGCTGGCCTCTGTCCTCTCTGTCTGCCCCCCACTGTCCTGCACCACAAGCATTTGCTGGCAAAACCCCTTGGCTCTCCTCTCTCCAGCCAGGCCTACTGGGAGAACCCCAACCCTGTGACTGTGTCCATACACCCTAAGGTCACTGCAGAAAGCTGAACCACTCTGGGGGTATTCTACACGCCCCGCAGGCCTGGCTCTCATCTCCAGGGGGTCCCGCTTTCCCTCTGTGACATGTCACACATCCTTCTCCTCCAGCCCTGGCCTCCTGCCTGACCATGAGGCTTTTCCTCTCCAGTTACTGCTGGTGACTGATTCACATATAAGCCTGTGATGGAGTTCTAGCCAATGGGGTGTGAGAAGCCTGCTGTGAAGATTCTAGAATATTCCTTCCACCCCTTAGAGTGTGTGGGAAAAGATAGATTTTCCTTTTCCCAGGGGTTCTGGAGATGATTCTTGGGAAAGCTGGAACCAAGCACCACCGGCCCAAAAAAGATGCTACACCAAGGATGCGAGGCTGAGTTAAGTTAGAGACCTTGGTTCCTGCAAAACATGGCTGAAGCTTTGAATCAAGCTAGCCTGATGCCAAACAACCTCTGGACTTCTGGTTATAGAAGAGAATATATTTCTTTCTCCTCTAAGGCAGCTCTGAAGCAGTTGACAGCAATGGTTTGATTACCTCCCAACCTAAGAGAACTCCACACACTCGCTACCATCTCATTTCTCTCTCTCCCCCCCCTTTTTTTTTTTTTTTTTGGTTGTATGTGTGTGTGAGACAGAGGTCAGCAGGGGGCCAGTCTTGCTATGTAGATCAGGCTGGCCTTGAACAACTCATTGCTGTAGCCCAGGCTGGCTTTGAACTTGTGATGATCCGCTTCTCTGAATGATCTTTAATTCATTGGGCTACACTGTCCCTAGAGCTTCAAAGTACCTAGTCTTTTTTTTTTTTTTGGTACTGGGGATCGAACTCACGACCTCGTGCTTGCCAGGCAGGCGCTTATGCCACTGACCTAAATCCCAGGCCAAAGTACCTAGTCTTACAACCTATGTATAATATGTTGCTGCCTCTGCCCATGGCTTCCAGGACACAGCCTAAGTCCTTGGCACTTCTTGAGTTATGGGTGTCACTGATGCCCATGGTGGGCCCTAGTGGACCATCTAACCAAGGGGCTCACAGAGGGCCCCCAGAGAGGTCACACCAATAAGATGACTCAGGATGGGACCTGGCCAGGCCAGAAAGACTGACCATATGACAACAGCTTGGGGCTTGTGTGCAAAAGGAGGAGAGGCGGCTTGACACTGAGCTAAACATCAGTGATTCAATCAATAACTCACAAGAAGAAACCCCAACCAATCACAGTACCACAAGATTGTCACGCATCAGTGTGCTACAAGCAAGGGTGACATCTCCTGACTCCACAGGGAGAGGACAACAGGAGCTTCACGTTTAGGACCGCCCAGACTTAGACTTCTGAGTCCTCTTGTGCTGGTTCTGATCTCAAATCCTTTGGCTATGGTTATACTGTAAATATTAGGATAGCGCTTTCCTGCGTTCTGTGAGGCTTTCTAGCACATTTTTTAACCAGAGTGGAGAGCAGGGATCCCAGATCTTATAGCCTGCTGGTCAGAACTGGGGGTTCTTGGGACTGGGTACCCTCCACCTGTGAAGTGTGATCCACTCCAAGTGCCAAACACTCTGCACCTAGAATCTCCCAATCACCCTCATGGAGCTCGTCCTTGTATTTCAGACTCTGATCCTCATCTACCTGACACTGCTCCTTGGCCGCCCCTCAAATTAGTGAAGTGGAACACTTGCTTTCCACAACTACCCGGTTGCTTCTGGGCTCAGCTCTTCAGCCACCGTTCACCCCTTTCTGCTGGACCCAGACCTGGGAGTTGTTCCTGCCTTCTCACCCGACAGCAGACCCCAGCTGTGGCTCCCAAGTTGGCTCGAATCTGTCCCTGCTCTCCGCACCCATCCAAAGCACACAGAAGCCACTGGACTCCATAGTCCTAGCCAGACCGCTCACTTCATACACATTAACTTGGGTGAACTGGATTTCTTCCCACTGTCTGAGAGCAGAGATCCACACACAGTGGTTAATATGTAAAACCAGAGACCTCTTTTACCACCATGCAGCATCCACATAGGCTGACGTGTGGCTTTGAGTCGTCAGTCCCTCCTCTCGTGCATGGCCCAGGGCAGTCCTGCATTGATTGCCTCCTGTCCCTCCATTCTGGCCCCTTCCATGAAGGCTCTTCATACAATTCTAAGTCTCACTGAGGATTCATTTGGCCCTCCCCAATGACCACTGCACCAGGTTGTTTTCAAACCTCAAAGAAACCACAGAGGAGATACTAGTTTTGTAGTTGTTTTTTGGAGGGATTTTTTTTTTTTTTTTTTTTTTTTTGGTACCAGGGATTGAACTCAGAGATGCTAGTTTTAAAAGCACAAAGAAAACACTGGTGAGACACTAGTTTCAAATCCCAAAATTAGAAACAGAAGGTAGGCGCCCTTTTAGGCAAGAAGAGAGACTGATAGTGACTGGAGCAGAGAGACTTTCTGGATGCTTCTGTCACCCCAGTTCTAGGCACTCCTGACTGCTGGAGCTCAGTGGCCTCCCTGAGACAAAACAGCAAGGGACAAACTATCCTACAGTTTCCTATTCAGACGGAAGGTGGACAATGGTCTGGTCCTTTGCTAGCCTCGCAGGGTCTTAGGAGGCCTTCCCACACCCATCCCCGCACCACAGGCTCCCGAGCTGCCAGCAAACTTGGAAGACCTGGAAGGCGGCCCTGGGCAGGACTGCTGGCAGTGCCTGAGGGGCTGTGGCAGTAGGTGCTGCCATCTCCTCCAGCACCCATGTCAGTCTCCTGGCTCTCCCTGTCACCCCCACCACGGCAACAAGTGACACATGGAAGCCGTAGAAGCCAGTCCCACCCCCAGGCAGCTCCTGTATTCCCTAGAAGCACGTAGATGGAGGCAAAACAACCTGCCCTGCTGTTTGGCTCTGAAGCAAATGCTCAGGGATCCTGGGGATGCTGTACTCACTGGGGCCAGAGTCCAGGCCAAGCTCGCCCTCCATTGAGTCTCGTGGGCCCCACGGGTATGGCTGCTCCTCCTGCTTGATCCAGGACAAAATGTCGTGTGCTGAGATGAGAGACTCTGTGGCAGGAAGAGGGATGTCACACAGTTTCACTGGCAGCCCCACACAGGCTCGGAACATCACTCAGAGGCCCTAGCTCATGGGGGGGTGGCAACTTGGGCATTCAGATGTTGAGTGTTACCTTTTGTTTTGTTTTTTTGGCGAGGAGGGACAGGGCCTTACTGTGTAATTCAGGCTGACCTCAGATTTGAGGCGATCATCCTGCCTCAGCTCCCCCCCCCCCCCCGAGTACCAGGATTACAGGCATGTACCGCCACACCTAGCTTACCCAGAAGGTTCTTTGGAGGTATCTACCTAGTATTCACTCCAAAGACATTCCAGACCCAGAATATATAAATTACTTCTTCTTGGAAAATGAAATATAGATATCTTTTCTGGAGCGTTTTGGTTGTTCTGACTATTCAAAAATCAGTGCTGAGGTAATTGTAGGGTCAGTTCAATTGACACAATAAAGGATCCAAGGGGCAATTCCTTTGACCTTGTGCTCATTCATGTCTTTCTTACCTGAATTGGGGTCTGTGGGAATATCTCTCTCTGCCAAATCCTGCTGGTCCCACACACACTGTGGCTCCTCCTGCTTAATCCGGGACAAGAGGTCCTGGGCAGAGATGGGGGAGTCTATTTGTGAGAAGAGAGCAGCACAGGTGTTAGAGGAGGAAAGGCTGTGGCCAGTTTGTGCTTTGCGCAAATCTTTGTGTTTTGTTTTGCTTTGTTGAGACAGGGTCTCACTATGCAGTGTAGGCTGGCGTTGAACTCATGGCGATCCTTTTGCCTCAGCCTCCTGAGTGCTGGGATTACAAATGTGCCACTACACCAGGCCTGAAGAAATCCTTGATTGCATACAATTATCTGTTTTCTCTAAAGGTCAGTCACAGGTAATAACAAGTTGCCCTAATTGGTGAACAATCAGTGGACATTACAGGGGGTGACAGCAGTGACTTTGAGGTATGGAGAGGCTCTGTGTTCCAGAGACTTATCTCCCAGAATGAGGTCCCACTGTGCACCTTGACCACCATGGAACAGGGATGTCATGAAGCCACATCCCAGGAGCACAGCACTTTCTGGTTTATTTTAGTCACATGAAGGAAAGAAAAGTCTTCCGCCACTGTCTCTTAAACCCAAGTCACCCTTATCGCTAATGATCTCATCAAAAATAGCAACACCTGATGCCTTCAAGGCCCTATCTAATGTCGGGAAAGGGCTGTCCTCTCCCCCCAGGGGCCACAGTCACTGTGAGTTTGCCTAGAGGGGATGTGGCCAGGCTACAGATATTAATATAGCTGGTGATTCTTTTTCTGTGTTAAGCAGATGTTTAGTTAAACATTATCCTAGACATTTCTATGAAGGCATTTTCCAGATGATGCTAACATTTAAGGCAACAGATTACCAGAAAAGCAGCTGTGGACCATTCCACTGAAGGCCTTAACAGAAAAAGGAGCCTCTCCCAAGGAAGAAGTTCTGCCAGCAGATGGCTCCAGACTGCAGACAGAAAGACCTGCTCTGTCCAGTTCTTTTCTTTTTTTGGTTCTTTTTTGAGGCAGGGTTTCACTATAAGGTTCAGACTGGCCTTGAGCTCACTTTCTGACCCAGGCTGGCCTCGAACTTGTGGTAATCTTTTGGCCTCAGCCTCCCAAGGGCTGAGATTACACGTGTCTGCCACCATGCCCAGCTTCTGTCCAGCCCTCTAAACCACCAGACTGCCCTACAAATTGGAACTTGTGGCCTCCACCATAATATGAACTAATCAATTCCTTACAATGAATCTCTCATTTATCTAATTTTTATTTTTGTTTTTCCAGACAAGGTCTTGCTGTGTAGCCCAGCATGATCTTGAACTTGCAGCCTTCCTTCCTTGGCCTGTTGGGATTACTGACTTGTGCCCCATCACCTGGTGTGATACTGTTTCTGGTTTTTTTTTTTTTTTTTAGACATGATCTCACTATGTAGTGCAGTCTGGCCTTGAACTCAACAATGTAGCCTAGGCTGACCTTGAACTCATGGAAGTTCTCCTGCCTCAGCTTCTCAGGTGCACGCCACTATACCTGGCCACTAGTATGATACTGTTTTTAAAGGAGAGGGAGGGAAAGCTCAAAACTAGGACCACAGCAAAAGGAGGAAGCAGGACAAGTGAGGCCCAGATGTGGGGTCTTCAGGGCCTCAACTGCACCCCTGCAGCAATGCCGCAGCCCTAACCCGAGAGACACGTCTGGGCTGCGCACTTGCTGTGTGTGCAGCACTCTCTTCCCTTCCTCCTGCCCTGGGGGGGGGGGGGGGCGGCTATCGGGCTCACTCACCGGTGATGGATTCCGTGGGAATGGCTCTGTCCTCCAAGCCCCGCTGGCCCCGGGTACACAGTGCTTCCTCTCGCTTCACCTGGGAGGATGCATCCTGGGCAGGCGCCAGGGGCTCTGCTCCTGGGGATGAAGAAGCACATGACCAAGGGTCCTTTTCTGCTCATCAGTCATCAGGACATTCTGGGGTCAGGAGCACAGTGGCCAGCAGTTGCCAAGCGAGGGGGTGGGAGTGTTGTATTCCTGTTGGAGTCACGGGGTGGCAGGAGGCAGGGAGCAGAGGTCCCAGAAGCAGGGCAGTGGGACAGTGCTAGCAAGACTATGAGAGAGAGTCCTGCTCTGTCACTGGCTGGTGCTCACCATGTGTTTGTGCTTGCATATGAGTGATTTGTCCTTGCTGTTCCCCAGTGAGGCCAGACGCAGACGTGCACGTGTGTGTTTACGATTACAAAGCAGTCAGGCATGACAAACGTCTGACCTTGGGTGAATACAGTGTCACACCCTTAACCATAAAAGATGGCAACATGTTCTTCCCGTGGGTTCCACAGATATGACAGTGGGACTTTCCTCTTCTGGAGTTCTCATATGCAATGCACCAGCTCCCAACAGAAGACTCAGAGAACAGAAGAGATGGGGTGAGGGCTCTGGGACAAGGGGGTTCTGGTTTCTACCCTGCCACTAACTACGTTCCTGAGTGATTTTGCCTCTGTATTTCAGATTGCCTGTTTCATCTATAAAATGGATATATGTGGGGAACCACAGAGATCACTGTACTCGACTCTCCTTGAAAAGAAGAGCAGCTATCTCCATTTTGGATAAACTTGGCCTTATCTCCATGTATTGATGTGCAGAGAGCTGGCTGGGCTATTTTTTTGTCCTTTCAATTAGCTTTAAGCAGTGTCAGTTGGGCTGGCTGAGCTGATGTGTGATCTCCACTCTGTGATTCCCCAAATACACGGTTAAGCCGGGTTGGGTAGAGAGATATCGGCCGGGACCAAGCCTCGAGAAAGAGCCTGTGACCTCCCAGGACGAAAAGGGTCGCACATCAGAACTGAAGCCCTGACCCGAATCACTAGCTACCACCTCAGCTGTTATGCAGATTCCTCCCTGCACTTCCTGCCCTCTGCATATCGCAGAGGTGATCTCAGAGCTCCTACCTGGCCCAGCTCATGGGAGTCCTGGCAGTCACCTGTTTCCCACCACTCTCGCTGTCACTGCTCCCCGAGCCACTGCCCTCATGCAGAATTAATAAAACCTGGGTTGGGCCCTGGGTCATGGCCTTTGTTCTGGTGAACCATCATCTGGGCTGGACTTAGGACCCCTTGGTTCCCTATAATTGTACATACATTTCAGTGTCTATTTTCACCTTGAGTCGCACTGGAAGTGGTGGATTGGAACTAACTCACTAGAATCCCAGTAACTTCTCCTTGGGATCACAAGTATAAACCTTCCTGGACCACGATACGGACGGGAAAGGGTTCTCTATAGATATGGTGGTCCCTGTTGTATCCCGTGATCAGTGATGGTTTGATAACTCTGTGAGGTTATAGTGCCTAAAACGTCCTACACAGCATGAGACTTGGTAACCACAGGTGCTGAACTCAAACAGGAAGGAGCCACTGGGATGTGAAGTCCAGGGCAGGCAAAGTCACAGAGGAAGAAAGCGGGCTCATGGTTGCTACAACCAGGGCAAAATGAAGACAGGGATTCTCATGATGAAAATGTTGTGGAATTAAGCCAGGTGTGATGGCACACATTTATAATCACAGTACTCAGGAGGCTGAGGTAGGAGGATCGTTGAAAGTTTGAGTTATAAAGTGAGCTCAAGGCCAACCTAAATTTCATAGCGAGTCCCTGTCTCAAAAAAACAAAAAGAAAAACAAACAAAAGTTTTGAATTTAATTAGTGGTAATGGCTTTACAACTTGGTGAACTAATGAACTGTATACTTTAAAGGAGGCAATTTTGAGCTGCGGATATAGCTCAGTGGCACAAGTGCCTGCCAGGCAAGGACAAGGTCCTGAGTTTGATTCCTGGCACCAAAAAAAAAAAGGCAATTTTATTCCTCAAAATTACATCTCAATATGAGAGTGGGAAGGAAGAGAAAGAGTGATGGGATTTCTGAGAAAACCGCCTTCCACTTAACAATAGAGGGGACGGAGGGCAAACAGGTGAGCATGCACAGGTAAGTGCCAGGTGTCACCTTGTCCAACATTGCCCTGACAGCTGAGTCCTGAAAGACAACTCCAGGGCAGAGCTGGGACTTGAACCCCACATGTTCAATCCCAGCAAAGCTACCCAGACTCCTCAAAACTTGGAGGCCACGCAGGTGAGTGTGCGTGAGAAGTGCGTGCGTGGAGGCAGGCTGTGCAAGGACCAGGTGTGAGACCGCAGACAACACCTAGGCCATGAACACCTAGGCAGGACTGGGCACCTCCTCTGTCACCTGCCTGAGCCTGGGCCTGGCACTGCTTGTTCATATCAGGTCTGGGCACTGTGGCAGCCCAAGCCCTTGCTGTCCCCCACTGGGCTTGCCTGTGAGGCCAGAGCTGCACAGCATTAACAAACCAAATGATAAATATTTATAGTGAGTTTCAGATCTCCCCGAAAGTGACCCCCACATTTCACCTTGGCAGGACCCCTTGGGAACAACTCAAGACACCTCCTCCAGCTTGGCCACATGAGCCAGTCCCTCCCAGAGTACAGCGTAGTGCCTTGCTCTCCTCCCTTGGCCTGGCCAGCAGCATCACCTGTGTCTGTGTCCACTGGGATCTCTCTCTCTTCCGGGTGACGCTGCTCCCACACACAAGGCTCTTCCCTGGTCTCCACAGGGGCTGGTGCATCGGGCTTGGCCATGGGGCCTTCAGCATCTGGAAGTGAGAAGGAAGGGAAGGAGGGAAAGCAGGAAGGTTGAGATCGCTCCCTACCTCCCCACCACCTCCTGGGACCCCACTGCCTTTGCATGGTGGCTGTTATGGGAATAAGGTAATGACTTAGGAGTGGCCCTGAGGTCACGTCAGCAGGTTCCTAGGTTTCTAGTAGAAAAAGAACCACACTGTGTATGGCTTCCCCAGAGGCTGGGATGCATGATAGTGAGGTACAAAAGTGCTATTTTAGTGTATTCTACAATAGGCATGGGGTGCATACCTGTAATCCCAGTATTCAGAAGGCTGACGCAGGCGGATCACTTTGAGTTTAAAGCCAGCCTGGGCTACATATGAGTTCAAGACCAGCCTGTACTACACAGCAAAACCATGTATCAAAATAATAATAATGATAATAATGTAACAGAATTCTATAGCAGGTTCTATTGCCAGATGTTTAATTTTCACTCTGTTATAAACCGTTTATTTTGTTATTTGAGACAAGGTTTCATTGTGTAGCTCAGGCTGGCCTTGAACTCGCAGTGATTCTCCTGTCTCAGCCACCCAAGTGCTGGGAGTACGGTATCAACATAGCTAGTATTATAAACTGTTCTACCTTACTAGCACAAGAAACAAATCATTTCTTTCCATTAGGTTAACGTGCATCTCACGGCCCTCTTGCCCATGAAAAGGGGAAGTGACCTTACCCAAGGACATCAGGGTTTTGTAGTTCTCCTTCACAAGGTTGTTATACAGCTCCTTCTGCCATTCATCCAGGTTCTTCCACTCGTCCTCGGAGAAGTAGACAGCAATGTCCACAAAAGTCACTGGAACCTGGGCCAACGAGAGTCTGTCTAGGCCTCTGCTGCTCCTCTTCTCTCTCTCTCTTTCTTTCTTTCTTTTTTTGGTTGTTTGAGATAGGCTCTCACTATACAGTGCAAGCTGGGCGTGAACTCACTGTGTAGCCCAAACTGGCCTTGAGCCCCTCAGTGATCCTCCTGCCTCAGCCTCCCAAGTGTCAGGATTACTGGCATGCACCACCACACCCAACTTCTCACTCTCTCTTCACCTGTGGGCCATGGAGCCTTTGCCTGCTGCTCAGCCTTGAGTCCCAGCCCACGTGAGTCCATTTCCACAGTCAGAACTCTCCAGCCCTGCCTGGCTTGCATATCCGGTGGCAGTGATAATCAACACTGCTGCTGCTCCCCTGCCCCCCAAGCATTCAACTGCATTCTTTGCTATTTTACTCTGAGGTCAACTGAGTGTCTCAGGCAAAGCTACGGTCAGTGCGCTTCCTCCAGTGCTCAGGGTGATGGAGGAGTGGGTGGTTCTCAGGTGGGGATCACCGAGCCAAGTACAGTTAAAACCCTGAGACGAAACCTGTATTTCAGGTCAGGTCGCCTTTGTGTACATAGTTACATTTTTGTCACTAACAAATGCAAAACCCAAAGGCATGTGGAGAAAGCTCCAATCCTGGTCTGCTGAGAACAAGCAAGATCCAGTTAGCCTGAGTCACTGCCTAAAGCCAGGCACCTGCCAGGCAGGCACTCTGGTCTCTTTCTCTTATCCAAGTTCACTTCAGTCCAGCCTGAGGCCTGGTCTACGCTCTTCTCAGCCTTCACTAGCAAGCCACACCTGGGACCAAACCAGGCCAAATGGTTTCACTTCTGTGCCGTTAGCCCCCGCACCTCCCTCCACTGCCGCAAAGACTTCCTCCTGCCATTTTCACATCCCCAGAGAACCAGCCCATGGCTCATACTCTGAAATCCAGCCCACATGGTCCTCCTTATCCCTGGTCTGAGGTCATTAGCCTCCGAATCTGCATGTGCAAGGTGGACGCTGGCCTGTGGGGCATCCTGCTGGGATGAGGTGATGGTGGTCAGGCCGCAGGGACTGGTGCACGGCCTGGCTGGTGGGCAGTACCTTGATGTCGACTAGAAGCGCAGGACCCTAAGCGAGATGCCCACTTGAGGTGGGATCAAAACATACAGTCAACATTTAAAGATTGAGGAAATTATTATAGCAAAGATGGACTGTCTTTAACCTTCCTGAGACTCCTGCCCCTCACTGAAAACATATTTGTCCCATTACTCGTGCCACTTTCTAAAGCAGTTCTGGAGTCCTCTTTCATGAAGATCTTTATGAGCTGGGTCCTTGCAGCTCTGGCACCCTGTGACTCCTGGCTCTTCCCCTAAGTCAAAATGCTCACGATAGGTACACTCTTTGAACCGATCCAGGACATTGAGGCAGCCACAATAGCACAGCTGAAGAAGACTTCCAGAGCTGCTTCAGAAAGTGGCAGTAGCCATGGGACAAGTATGTTCCTGAGGGGGATTAATGGCAATGTGTTTTTACTGTAATAATTTTTAAAAATTGTAAACAGTAAATATATATTTCATTCACACCACATAACTTCAAGAGCACCCTGGGCAGGTGGGCCCTGTAAACCGGGGTGCAGCGGCCCTGTCCTCCCTGGCCAATAGCCCACCATCTGGTTTTAGACTCACACCTGGAACCTTTGACCCCCTGAACCTCCTAGTAGGCCTCGGCAAATGCCCACCTGGGAAAAGGCACAGCCCCAATTTCTTCAGTGACTTCTCCATTGCTGCCTGAGGCACAGAATTCTGCATACCACATCTGCCCTGAACTCACACTGCTTAGCTCACAGCGGCTTTGGGCACCTTTACCTGACCTCTGGCCTCACCGTTGCATACCTGTCACCCCAGCTCCAACCTTCCTGAACCTTCTCTCCCCTCTCTGACCTCAGGTGGCTGCTGGCAGGCGCCTTTCCTGCCCTTTTCGTCTTGCCAACCCAAACCTGCCAATCCACCTCCCCTCCTTGGGCGTTAATCCAAACAATCTTTTCTCTTTTACATCTTTAGTATCTGTCTCTCAAGGGATTTCTTTTCAGGGACATCCCAAACAAATAAAAACCTTTTCTCAGCTCCGTATCTCAAGTCACTACTCTGGCTCTTCTCTGGGACATTATGAGAAACGTCACAACCCACACAAACTTTAACTCCCTAAAATCTGCCTCAAAATACGTACCCGCTAAGTTACATTCTTCTGAAACAAACAAACAAACAAAATACGTACCCGCTATGCTCTGAAACCACACTCTGGAAGATCACTAGCAAATGGCTGCTGAGCCTGCAGGAGCCTACAGACAGCCCAGCAGGACACAAAAGCTGGGAACCAACTAATAGACACAGGAGGATCTAACAGGCCACAGGTTGAGAGCACCCTCCTCCAATCCAACAGGTGGAAAGTGCACCCAAAAGTACACAAAGAACTGTATCTGTCATGAGCAACGTGTATTGACAGTTGCGTGGTGTTTTTAAAATACGTCTGTGAAACCCTTCTGCACAGCTAGTGGGACTATAAACTAGTACAACAACTCTAGAGATCAGTATAGAAATTCTTCAAAAAACTGAAGCTAGAAATTCCATTTGTGATATCCCCCTTCTAGGAATCTTCCCAAAGAGTTAAAGACATCGTAATGATCCACGCACACCCATGTTTATAGCAGCACAACTGAACAGCTAAACCGGGGCAGCAGCCTCTATGTTCACCCGTGGATGAGCAGGTACAGAAAATGCAGCATTTACACACAATGGAGCACAACTCTACCACAAAAGAGGATGAAGTTGAGTCCTCTGTAGGAAAATGGAAGCACCTTGAGACCATAAGGTTAAGTGAAATAAACCAGACACAGACTTAAATATTGGGCTGGGATACAGCTCAGTGACACAAGCACCTGTCTGGAAAGCCCAAGGTCATAAGTTCGATCCCTGTTACAAAAAACAACACAACAAAACAAAACTTAAACATCACCATGGTTTCTCTTACATGAGAAACCCAAATTATAGGTAAAGAGCAAACTGAAAAAGGAACTAAGATGTGTTACGCACACGAAGTTATCCATACAAAGTATGAAAATTATGTACTGCAAACACAGATGAATAAAATTTTAAAATATGTCCATGAATTCTTTGACACTCCTTTCATTTCCTCCTCAGTGTGTGCTAGACTTGGTAACTTCTTTCTAATCAATAAAGAAGGAATGGTGTATGGCTTCTTCTCTTAGGAAGGTAGGGGGCTAAGACAGGGTCTCTCTATGCAGTTCAGGCTGGCCTTGAATTCAACAGGTAATCCAGGCTGGCCTTGAAGTTGCAGCGATCCTCCTGCCTCAGACTCCTGAGTGCTGAGACTACAGGTGTGTGCCACCATGCCAAAAGTGTCTTTAAAGAGGAATGGAAGAGACCCAGAGACAATCAAAAATGAATATGGCCAACAGTAGGAAAATCAGAAGGTGGCACTGCCACAATTCAAACCCAAGTCGCCTGGTTCCATTGTCACACAGGGGTACACGCAAGGCTCCTAACGCCTCAACCACCCCCAGCACACAGAACAGCACTAGGCCAAGGCTCTGGCACTGAGTCAAAACAGGCAGCAGAGATGAAAGCAAAGGATGGGTGTAAGTGAGCATGCTAAATGAGCAACGTGTACAACGTCATTCTCAGGGTCAGGGAGGACCCAAAGCCCCTGGTGACAATTCCACTCGGGGAAGCCTCAATAAATAAATGTCAGATAACTCTACCGGCAAATTTAAGGTGTTGCTCCCTGGACAAACGTGAGCCTCGGGGCCTCCTGTGACACCATCAGCTGGCCACCTGGTTGGCAGACATTTTTTGCACACCACCTCTAACCCAGGTGTGTCACCCACACGAGCACATGGCCGTAGGCCTAGGAGTGTTTACATACCCATCAGGGAAAGCCCATCCTGAGGGTACAAAGTAAACGTTTAAGACGGTGATGATACAAGCACTACGGAGAAAGTCAGTGCAGGGACAGGGCCAAGAGTGTCCAGGACATTAGGTCCTCATCAGCAGGTGTCCCTGAGGTGGGAATGTGCTATGAGGTCAAAAAGGTAGGAACAGAGACTCGGGCTTTTGGTTTTCCATTGTGGTTTGGTTTCAGGTTTTGAGACAGGGTCTCGATACGTGGTTTAGGCTCACCTTGAACTCACTATATGATCCAGGCTGGCCTGGAACTTTCGAAATCCTCCTGCCTCAGTGTCCCAACTTCTGGGAGTATAGGGATGTGCCACCACACCCAGCACTTATTTTAAACAAGATGAGAAGCCATCTAGAGGTTTAGGCAGAGGTACATGAGGCTGATTGGGGCCAGGGATCAGTCTGGCTGCTCTGTTGGGAATAAATTGTATGGGTAGGAGCAAGGATTCAGACCAGGAAACATGTCAGGAGAGCAGTGATAATCAAGAGGTGACAGTTTAGTGGCCAAGATAGTGAGGTAAGGTCACGCTGCACGTATGTGTCAGATGTGGGATGTGAGGAAAGACGGGAAAAGTAGGGCTCTAAGGCTCTGGCCTGGGCCCTGCGAGAGAGGCTGGGACTGCCATCAGTAGAGACCAGGATGACTTTGGGTAGGACACCCTTCAGGCAGAAGACCTAGTGTGTTAGTCACTTTCCTTGTCACTGGGACACAACATCTGACACCCACAACTGAAAGAAGGAGAGGTTTATTTTAAAGGTTTATTGTGTGTTTAGCCCATAATCGGCTGGCCTCCAAGGCAGGACAGTACATCAGAGGGGCCTGGAGGAAGAGGGCCGCTCAGGGCACGGCAGACAGGAAGTCAGGAAGTGGTGTGTGAAGGGAGGAGCTGGTGGGGTATAAACTCTTCCAGATCATGCACCTGGCCCTCCCTTCCTAACACCAAGCCAGCCTTAGAGCCCCATAATCCAAGAACCTCCACAAGCCCTGCTGCTCAGCTGCAGGGTGTTTTGAGGGGACATCCAGGTATAAATGTAACCCCTGGAGTTTGGTTTGGTCCAGCTAAGTCTGAGACACTTTACTGATGGCCAAGCAGAGATGCTGAGTTAACAGGTTGGACTGCAGATGTGACGTTCAAGACAGAAGCCTGGGCAGGACACCAAGCAAGCAGAGGAAGCTGATCACACACAGATTGCATCTCACGCCCCTGGACTGGATGAGGTCAGCAGGGAGGGAGTAAAAATACAGTGAAACCCTGAGGCTGGGCCAGAACCACATGGAACATTAAGAAGGTGAGGAAAGGAAGTAAACTCAGCCAAGCACATCAAGAATGTAAGGTAGGAAAAGAAGAGGGAGGCGTCTGGTAGTCACAGGAAATGTATTCCAAGGAAGGCATGGCTAGGCACAGGCAGCTGCTGATGGGACTAGGAAGAAGAGGCCTGAGATGGACCATGGTTCTACACCCTGGACATCCCTTACTGTAGTCTCGGGAAGACCAGCAGGACCAAAAGATGGGAAGGAAGCCTGATGAGGGCCAGGGAGATAGCTCATGGCATAGCATTTGCTTGGCAAGCATAAGGTCCTGAGTTTGAGTCCCAGTAAGAAAAAAAAAAAAAAAGGGCCGGGGGACTTAGCTCAGTGGTGTAAGAAAGTGTCTGCCTGGCAAGCACAAGGTCATGAGTTCGAACTCTAGTACCAGAAAACAAAAAAACAAAACAAAAAGTCCTGATCAGAGTAAGTTCCAGAGCATTATCCAGTTACTAATTAACTGGATCAGTAAGAATAGAGAAACATGTTCAATGAAACTGGGGACATGAGATCTGCAGAATGCAGGTGTATACTCGCAATCCCAGCTATTCAATTGGCTGAGGCAGGAGGATCTGGAGTTCAAATCTGAGCAACTTAGCAAGATCTTGTCTCAAAGTAGAAAATAAAAAGGCCTAGGATGTAGCTTAATGGTACAGTGACTTTAGGTTTGATACTCAGTATTGAAAACAAAAAGTAACAAAAAATAAGACTGGAAGAAGAAGCTATAGGTGTTTTTTCTTTTTTTGCTTTTGTTTTTTAAAGATATGAGACACATCAATTACAATATGTGGACCTTATTTAAATCCTGAATGAAACAAAAAAAAATCGACAATGTGGACATTGAGTGAATATTCCAATTAAAGTGAGACTTTTACTATGGTAGCAGCAACAACAGTAATACAGAGGTTGATGTATTTTTGAAGTCCATGTACCTTTTAGAGCTAACCCTGGATTACTTATGAATAAAATGAGTGATGTCTTGGATTTGCTTCAAAATAAAGCAAGGGTGGGGGTGGGTGTAATCAGCTGAGAGCTGTTAGCTAGCTGTACAGGCCGATGAGGCTACTTGGGGCTGCAGGACACTATTCTGTTGCTTTGGTATATGTTTGACTATACAAAGGCAGGAAGGAAGAACTGGGAAAAGACGACAGCAGCTAAGACAGAAAGGGGTGTGACTCCTAGCCTCTAGATGGAGCCACTTGGGATTATGGTCATAGGTTAAAAACAATAGGTTTAGGGTTCACCCCCAGCCACAGCTTGGACAGGTATAACAGAGATAACCCATGACAACTGTCAGCAGGTAGTGTCAACTGGGAAAACAAGCAGGCAACAGCTGCAGGTTTTGCAGCACAGAGGGCAAAGGCTCCAGACAAGCATGCACAGTTTCTGCGGATAATAGGGTACCAGACTAGCAGGTATAGAACATTCCAGACGAGGTGAAGGGGAGAGAGGACTCATGAAGACACTCAGTGAGGCATCAGGGAGCCAGAGAAGGCTGCCATGCCTGACGACAAAACTGCAAGCTTTGTCACTTGTGCTGTCCTCACCTCCGTCCCTCCCTGGCCTGGCACCTACCTTGGGGGCCTCGCCCTTGCTCCCTGGGGGCAGCCTCAGCACCCAGAAGTTCCGGTTGCGCAGCAGGTTTTCCAGGTTCTCCAGCCGCCGCTGCAGCAGCCCGTACTCCTGCAGCAGGGTCCCCAGCACGGCCCACTTGCTCTCCATGTGGTTGCCGAACTCCACTGCTGTCTTCTCGCAGTCGGCCAGCTTCTTCTCTGCCGTCCCCGTGCGGCCCTCCAGGTTGAGCAGCTGGCTGGCCTGGGCATCCACTTTTCGCTCCACTGCCTGAATGGCGGCCACCACCGTCCACAGCGAGATCTCTGCCGTGGGCAACTGTGGCTCACGCATCATTCGATCAGGGAACACAGGGGCTCGGTCTGGGAAGGGTGGGAACTGAAAAGGCATTGGTCGCCGGGCATCCATGTCCCATTCTTGAGCCTGTGTGCAGAGGGGAAAAGTGACAGCTCGGATAGGAGATGTCTGTGGGGGGAAGAGGCTAGGGGATAATGAATCAAACGCCACAGCTTCTCTTTCTTCAGCCAAGCCCCACTGCCATCAATGGCACTTGGGAACAGCCCCAACACTGGGGCAGCCACCCACTCATCCAAGCAACCTCTCTCCCACTTCCACCTGTGGGAGTCAGGCTGGTTACAGCTCACCTACCTCCACCCGTCAGGCCAAGGCCCTGGACTACTGCTTCCAACATCACAGCCCTTTTCTTCGAATAGAAAGCGGCTTTGTTTATGGGCTTGAATTGTTTCAAGGATATGAATTTTTGTGCAAGTTGTCTGACACTAATCTGCCCAGCCATCTCTCACAGGTTAGGGCAAGAATGGTTATCTCCACTCTAAAGATGATGAAACTGAGACACAGAGAAGCAGTTGGTCATCCGACAGCACTGCTTGCACTGCCAACTGCACGACCTGAGGTCCTACAACATACAGATGACTCGAGGGCCAATGGTGCTGCCCTTTCTACCAGGAGTGTGGCCAAAGAAGTGTAGCACATCCAGGCAAGAGGGCAGGGAAGCACCTGCTTTTTTGTTTGGCTTGGTTTTACATTTCATATGTTACTATTTTTCATAAATACTGTGCAAAATGAAAACAGATTTAAGCCAGGTATGGTGGTGCAGACCTGTCATCCTAGCGGCATTTGGGAAGCTGAGGCAGGAAGATCAGTTCCAGGCCAGTCTGGGCTAAATAGTGGGTTCAAGGTTAATTTGAAGTACATGGCAAGACCGTGTCTCACCAAAAAAAAAAAAAAAAAGGGTCCTGATTCACTAAAAATGATTCACTAAACTGATTCACTAAAAATGTCACTCAGGAGGAGGGGACCTCTTATGAGGGCTGAGCTAAGGGGAACAGAGAAGCTCTGGGATCCTTTGGTTCCTTTCTGGCCCTCCTCATCTCCCTCACAAGACCTTCACCCTGGAAGCCTTGAGGAGCAGGTGGGGAGTTGTGTCAGTAAAGCGTGGACAGACTGTTTTGACATTCAGAGTTCCATGGATGACCTCAAAGGCTGACAACCAACTTGCCTTCCGACATGGGACAGGAGGAAGCAACACTTTCTGTCCTCCCTGTCCCTGAAGGAGTCCTCAGCTGGGAAAAGTGGGATCCCGTTGCTTGGAGGTGAGCTGCACAGGCCGCGGACAAGCACACCAGTTACCCTCTTTAACTCAGCAGCTGTGACAGCGAAGGCCACCCTAGGGACCTGAGATTCTGTCCCTGCCAGGGAGACGGGAGGGCAGGGCCAGGGGAGACCCAGCCCTGATGGGCTAGGGGAGGCTCCTTTGGGCCTAGCCCCGAGGACTGAGGAAGGTGTGGAAGTTCAGCAAAGGGGCCCACTTTAGGTTCTGCAGGTTTGAAGACTGAGGCTTAAAAATGATGGAAACCAACACAGGCCCTCCGGGAGGGCTTGTTACAGGCGGACCCAGCGGGGGCTGGCTTCAGACCTCCGGAAGTGTGCAGGGCTCTCGGAGCCCCGCCCACGGGGGGGACACCGGTGCCTAATGCTCAGTACGGGGCCCTGGCGCCCTAACTCGTCCGCACACCCGAGGGGCTCGGAGTTAACGGCTCTGGGACGCGGTTTGGGCGTCGTCAATCGTCTGCAAAGCTGCTCGGGCGATTCCAATGCGCAGCCAAGTTTGCTAGCCCAAGACGACAAAGTCCCCTGCCCGTGGCCCTTCCCTGGCTCACACACGGAGAGGAGGAAAGTGGACTGATGGCCTGTTATTACTTGGAGAAAGGTGGCAATCGCACATTTCAGGATCTCTCCGTGTAAACACGAACGAGGCGTCGCTTCCCGCGCGGCGCACCGGGCCTGCGGGCAGAAGCCCACGCCGGTTGCGCGCAGGGGGCGCCCGCGGGAGTCGCGACTGCGCGCGGGGCCGGGCAGGGCCGCTTGGGCCCCGAGCCCTGTGAATACCGGGCGCGGCGCGGCGCGGGGCGGGGCGGGGATCGCCGGGCCTGGCGCGGGGCCTGCAGGGCTCAGCGATCGCGGGCCGCGTGCCCCGGCCCCGCCGCGATCCCCGCCCCCACGAACAGCCATGGCGCCGGCGGCGGGCGGCGGGCGGGAGCTGCACCCACCTGCATGGGCGGCATCCCCTCGGCCATCTCCGCGCGCAGCGCCGGCTCCTGGTGGCAGACCTCGTCTGGGGGCAGCGCCTGGGCCCAGCTCCAGCTCCCGCTGTCCAGCCCCAGGCCCTGGATGCCCAGCTGCTGAGGCTGCGGCCGTGTTGACACAAACTGCATCCTGGGAGCGCTGTTCCCCGCTCGGGCCGGCCAGGCAGAGGAAGAACGTTTTCCAGGCGGCTTCCCCCTTGCCGGGGCGGGACAGCTCCATCTACAGCCCGTAGGAGCAAACAGTCCCCTCGGCGCCGCTCCCCGCCCTCCGGTGCGCGCCAGCCAATGGCCACAGAGCCCCGCCTGCCCGCGGGGCCCAACCCAGAGGAGGCGCCGGGTCCGGTCCCGGCCCAGGCGACCGCGGTGGCCTCACAGTAGCGGGGCGGTGGGCCTGTTCCTGTACATCCTGAGGATATGCGGGCATCCTAGGAGAAAACGATCCCTGGCTCTTCTGAAATTTTTACTGAACTCCTACTATGCGCCAGGCACTGTTTTAGGCAGAGGGTGGTTGCATCCACCAGGATTTAAATTCCAAAGTCAGCACTCGCTGACTGGGACATTTGAGTAATTAAACTTCCTTGAGCCCTCACTTGTTCTGTAAAATGGAGAAAAAAATGACTAGTCTATTTTAATGTTGTAAAATTGAGATGAGAATCATGCCTGCAGGCACATAGTAGGCACTTGTAATTCCCCTCCCACTCACCCACCCAAGATAGATCCTGGTAATTATCTGCCACACAGTGTTTATTTTGTCTTCCTGGATGAGGACTCTTTATCTAGTTAAGGACAGAAATCTCCTATACTTATGGGGGAATGGAGAGGCAGGCCAGCTGGTACCCGAGTTCCACTTCACTTGATAAAATAAAGAACATTATGGGCCCAGAGGAGGCAAGTGTTAGAGCACTCCATTCCGGATGATTAGAAAGCACTGTCTCTGTTCCACATACTTTCAGGGTAGAGAGCTGCATATTTCCTGGACTTAGTCTACTCTAAAAGAGCTTAGAGGCTAGTAAATGTTAGGCACCCAGAAGTCCATGATCTCCTTTCCTGGCCACAACCTGCCCCTTCCAATGTAAATGTTATGTCAAGTATTATAGAGCACTATTACTCTCTCTCTCCCCTAGAGATGGGAGATGGAGGAGTAGGTTTATCCTAAGGATTCAAACTATCTTTTCAGGATAAAACAGGTAAGACAACTTCTCTTTCTAACATTTAGTGAGATAATAACTGTCTTTTTTCATACAGCAAGAAACTGCACATCCTCTTTGGTTTTCTCTCTGCACACAGCCACCCATTCCTTTCACCTGAGTGCCAGGTAGCATTAGAGGTCCGGCTCACTGTCATGAATGAGTGGAGCTACTCAACTCACATGGAATTAAAACCACAGGCCTCATTGCACCAGCACTATTCTATCACTACCAAGCCCAGCACCAGGGCTACAAAAGCCTGCAGTGAATATAAGCAGGAAGTTGGCAAATGAGGTCAGGGTCACTTCCCAGAAGGGCATTCAGGGCGGTGGCTGCTGTGGTCCCACAGGTTGTGGTCCCTATCATAGGTGCTCCAGTGACCTGAGATTGAAGTGGCTGAGGTGGGAAGGGCTTCTGCCTTGGGAGGTGTCCAGTCACTGGCTGGTTTCCAGTAATCCCTGCTGAACTCTGAGGCAGGTATTAGTGAGGGACAGAATGAACACCTGGATGAAGTGGATAATAGACACAGGCCAGGTATGGTGGTACACACTTGGAACCCCAGCACTCGGAGGCTTAGGTGGGAAGATCACTGACAGTTTGAGATCCGCTGGGCTATATAGTGAGTTCAAGGCCAAGCTGACCTACATAGCCAGACCTTGACTCAAAAACAAACAAAGACAGGTTACCATACATTTCTCATTAGGGAAGGTGGCTGACTTGCATTCTCATCTGTCAGATGGGCACCCGACTGCCTCTCCTCGGCTCATTTAGGAATTCTATAGCTACTGGGCTGGGCAGCACATTTGAAGAGACAGCGCTCAACTAAAAGATTCAGAAGCTAAAAGAGAAGAGATTCCTAACATCCAAGGATCTATGTGTCCACCATATCCTAAAGCTTTCTGGTGCTCTGTGTCCTACAACACGCTTTATCTGAGGAAGAAAACTTCTAGACTCTTGGCAGAGGGGACAAACAGCTTTGAGTTCCCATCTTGGTGCTGCCCCGCCCTGGTACTGCTAATTTAACAAGCAGACCAAGGTTGCTTAGCCCACAATGGCTAGGAAGCAGAGCAGCCTCACATTCTCAGGCTCTCCTGCCCTCGGGCTCCTTGGTTACAGCTTTCTACTGTGCCAGCCTTCATGGGAGGACAGATCCCCAGGCTGTGGTGTCATGACACCCTGAGTGTGACTAAAGCCAGAGACAGAGAGTAGGTTGCTGGGAATATGGTGATAAAACTCCAAGATCACTGGTCATGCTGGCACACACCTGTAATCTCAGCACTAGGGAGGCTGAGTCAGGAGGTTAACCAGGAGTTGCAGGCTAGTTTGGGCTACGTAGTAAGACTAGGTCTCAAAACAAACCACTCTTATTCTGTTCTGTTTTGTTTGCTTTTACTATGCCTGAAGATATGATCAGGTGTTTTGAAGATAACAAGAGGCATTATAGTAACCAGTGTTGATTTCCTATTATCTTGTTGGGTTTTTTTTGTTTTTTTTTTTTTTTTTTTTTTTTTTTTGTCTTTTTCGTTTTTATCGGTACCAGGGATCGAACTCACGACTACCTGCTTGCAAGGCAGGCGCTTATGCCGCTGAGCTAAATTCCCAGCCCCCTATTATCTTGTTTTGAAATTCTGTGTCACTTACACTGCATTGTTTTGATTAGCTTTATTCTGCTTAATTTTGCTTGGTTTTATTGTCCCCAAAATAAAATTTTAAAAAACCAAACAACTCCAAGATCAAATAGAAGATATAGAAAGTGTCAGTGTGTGGTCAGAGTCAAATATTTTGTGAAAATCTTATAAAAGTTTTAAGGCTCTTGCTAGAGTTTGCAACATTCCTGGCCTTTTGCCAACATTTTAATTCAAACTGAATATCCCAAGTCAATCTTTGACTCTGTTTCTCTACCTGTGTGTGTGCGTCCCCTGGAAAATCTTTGCTTCAAATCCAAAGATTGGGGAAAATATCTTTTTCCTCTGAACACAGCCTGGTTCAGTTAGGCATTTAGCCTCCTTCTGTACAAGTTGTGTTTTGGTTTGTTTTTGTGTTGGTTTTTCTGAGGCAGGGCCTTATGTATCCCAGGCATGCCTCAAACTCCTGCCTCAGCCTCCAGAGCTGGGATCACAGGTGTGTGGCACCATGACCAGCTTCTTCACAAGTTCTGACACTGTAGATGAATGTAGTTCACTGACTTTCTCTTCAGTTCTTACGCTGTGGTACCTTTCCTCTGTCTTAGTAAATAGCGAAGTGCTCAACTACTCAACGGTTCTAACTCAGCAGACACCCAGGGCTTGACACTCTTCTACAGACTGTCTGTGCTGGGAATTGCAGCACGTTCTCTGAATCTTCTTCATGTGCAACCCTTCAGCTTTTAAGTGCAGCTTTGGTTACTGAAAATGGCCAAGCCGGGTGTGGTGATGCACTCCTGTAATCCCAGCACTCGGGAGGCTGAGGCAGGAAGATCATTGCAAGTTCGAGACCAGCTTGGGCTACAAAGTAAGCCTAAGGCCAGTCTGAACGGCATAGTGAGACCATGTCTCAAAAAGACAAAATAAATAAATAATAAAAAGGACCTCACCAAAATGAGGTCTTGTGCTCATGCCAAAACATACGGAGTTCTACTCTACAATCAAGTTATGACTTCCTAATGTGGGCTCACAGATTCTTGCGTAACCCCCCAATCCACAACTCCCTGTCTCAGTAAAGGAGGGTAACTGGCCATTCACAGCCTGGTGACCTTTTCCTTCCATTATCCATTGGCACATTAGAATCACTGAGTGGAACGTGGAAAGGGTAAACATCCAGGTTCCACCACATAGCGAGGAAGCCATGGCAGGTGGGCCCTGGCATGGGTATCTTTTAAAAGCCTGGGTTATTCTCACACTCAGCCAAGGACAAACTTGCCAACACTCTTCTCTGCATCTTCTCTCAGCCCCACAATATCATCTAGGGAAATAAGGAGCGTTACTGGGTTAATTATTCTAGTTCATTGTTTTTATCCTGCTGTTTACTCGTTGGCTAGTAGATATGTCTTTGCTACACAATTTTTAAAAATTATAAACTCAGTTGGGCATGGTGGCTTATGTCTATAATCCCAGCACTCAAGAGTCTGAGGAATGAGAATTGCTGAGTTCAAGTCCACCCTGCACTACATAAGGGAGTTCAAGGCCAGCCTGCACCACATAGTGAGACCCAGTTTCAAAACACAAAACAAAACAGCTCAAGGCCAAAAACTAAAGTTCATAGATTTTCATTTCTCTTTGATATTTTTTTCTTTTCTTTCTTCTTGGTACCAGGGGTTGAACTCACAACCTCATACTTGCCAGGAAGACACTTCTGCCACTGAGATAGATCCCTGGGCCTCCTCTTCGGTTCTCAATTGTTTGTTTAACTCAGTCTCTCTAAGAATGTGCCTGCTGCCTTCCTTATTTGTTATGGCTACCTCACAAAAGCTACTGGTAGAATTACATGGAGCAATCTCACGTCTTCTGCATTAAGCTTTGTTTTTGATCTCTGCCATGATTCTGCTGCTCTCCAGACTGCAGTCTCAGGCCAGCTCTCTTCCAGCACAGGCAAGCAAACTGGAGATGAAATGACTACTATCTCACCTTGAATGAAGAGAAGCATCAAACTCATTTAGAAAACTGCCAACTAGTCTACAAACAACACTCCTACACTTACTATAGAAACACTTTATTAATCCTGCAATGTACAAATACCATTTATTAATCCTCGCTGATTTTCACTTTTGTAAACTGTACTAAGGAAACCAAAAGTAAATGCAGGCCTCCTGACTTTCCAGAACGGTTTTCATTAAAATAATCTTCATCTTAACAGAAACATTAAAAATGCATTAACTGAGCTTCAAGTTTTTAGGGCAAATATAGACTTCACTAATAAGTAATCACAAAGTCACAGAGCTCAGTGAGGTTTTATCAAATACTTTTATCTGAAACACAACCTGGCTATTTTGATGAGCTACGTGGAACATTACTTTTGAGACTACTCTGATTGGTTGATATTGTTCTGTCTTCCTTAATGGGCATTTGGTTTTTTGTTGTTGGGGTTTTTGTTTGTTTGTTTGTTTTTGGTACTAGGGGTCGATGGGCATTTGTTTTTAGGGGTGAAATTTTTTTGAAGGGGAGGCATTTAATTGACCAAGTGATTCTGTGTGTGATTGTGGCCAGTTACTCTAAAGGAAACTGGGACAGTGCCAGAATGGATGGATACCCTCCCTTGACTTTCAGTGATTCATGACACTTTCTGCAAGATACATAAACAGCACCTTCCACGTGATTTATGCCAGGAACAATATGCTCTGGCCTATGGTCATGCTTATAAAGTACAAGTTTTTGGAGGAAGCCCAAAAGGTTAAAGATCTCATCTCTCTATCCAGTGCTAGGAACACCATTCAGTCACCGCCCATTCCCAAGCAAACCTACCAGCTCACAGATGCTGGTACAGGGACACAGGGCATCTATTATGAAACCCAGCTAACTGAACCAGAACAAGTACATCAGCAACTCCACAGGCTGAGGGGAAACTTTCGGGACTTCATACTGAAAAGCAGATGGGCCACGTTCACCACTGCAGAATCCAAACTGAGGAAAAAAAAAAACAGTGCCACATGAAATTTAGGGGAGCTGCAAGGATCAGAGAGAGAGAGAGAGAGAGAGAGAGAGAAGAACAAGCTAAACAGAAGTACAGGAAGATGGTGGACAAAAAAGCTGACACTGACCATTCATGTGTCTCAGCAGAGTAGCCTCCAATTCAGCCCAGCTTTATAGCCTCCTGGGGCTGGTCCTGTGAAATTCTTTTGTGCAAGGGCTGTGTACTAAACGATTTACCTAAATTTCTTTTTAAGCCTGACTACCCCCGAGATGATAAATATCATTATTTTACAGATAAGGAAACTAAGGCTCAAGATGATTAAATAATAGATCAGTACGTTGCTCACCATGGCTCCAGGACTTGAGTCAAGGTCTGCCTCGAGTCTTTGTTCTCAGCTAGCCACACCGTGCTGCCACCATGCTAAGCTCAGCGCTCTTCCTGCTGCGTCGTCCTCACACCAATTTGATCTAACTCAAGGACCTTGTGCTTGTGGAGTACTGAAACTCCCCACAACACCCGCCTCTGTGAGTAGGCACCCTGTGGGAAGTGACTATTCTTTTGCTGCAGCTAAAGAACCAGAGTGCACTAAACAGGGTCAGAAGTATCCATCACACGTACAGAGACAACAACCTATCTGTGACATCTGGGGTCTTTGTGTCTTAAAGCCTTTCTAGGAAAGATCTGTTTTTACTCCTTGTTACTGAGCAGCCTTTGGGCAGCTGCTGAGGCCTCCTGATGTCTATGAAGCCATGATATGGGGGGGGGGGGATCTGTGCAGAAACTTGGGACTTTCATTCCATTTGGAATATGGGTCCCTTTAAAAATAATTATCTTGCCCAGGCATGGTGACACACTCCTGAAATGCCAGCACTTGGGAGGCTAAGACAGGAGGATCACTGTGAGTTTGCGGCCAGTCTGGGTTACAAAGTGAGTTCAAGGCCAGCCTGAACTGCATAGAGAAAGGCTGTCTCAAAAAGACAAAAGTAACTAAAATAAAATAAGATAATCAAGGAGGCTTTTGAAAACTGAAACAGTAAGCATTTGTTATTACTATTAAGTCTCTGGGCCTGGGTAAGATAGGCATAGATGTCCATCTCTCAAGAGAAGCCACAAACTTTGTACTTTATTATTAATAACAAGGGATGTTATGCAGGGTATGGCCCTGGCTTGAGCTCAGCTAACATGTTTACAGTAGTGTCTAGCAGAAAAGGATGAGTCTTCTTTCACTTTCTAGGCCATCAATCAACTTCCATTTATTTTCACATTTGTGGCTGAACCAGAGGCTCACCCAATGGAGACAATGAAAATACTAGCAAAGAGAGTCTGACAAGTCAAGCCCCAGCACCCTACTGGAAGGTGACAGTGCTCGGGTGAGGGTCCAGAAGGCAAGCGGGCAGGTGAAGAGCATGCTGTGGAGTTTCCTCTTCCTGTTGCGTCTGCTCAGACAACCGGTCCTCTCCATTCACAGGATTAGACACAAGGTTTCTCTCAGGAGTGCTCGCTGGACCAACAGATTCCTCTCCAAACACTGAAAGCTTTCTGTTGGACTTTACCTTAGCTTTTCACCAATCCACTTTTGAACCTTTAGCAAATAAATTCTTTAGAGGTGGCTTGGAGTTCTACCTGGTAGGGGCCTGATGGAGGGAAAGGAAAATGTAACATAAAATGCTGAACTCCCTGCCTAGTCTCAGGGCTAAGAATTAGACTCTCACCTTCTTGCCGTCCTGAGGTGGACCTGCACACCTCCCTTTGATCAGCTCCATGGCTCTTGCTGCATTGGTATCTGACCTGTGTTCACTTTCTGCCAAAGCCTGGGTCTCTGCTGGCCACAGTTCCTTGCATAACAGGCTGTGGATTTATCTGCAGCACCTTAATAGTAAGCTGTGCATCCTCAATAAATCTTTTGGGTTAAAGTGAATCTTAAATACAACCTAGTCCCACATCATACCTCATGTAGGAATCCCTTCTCCAGCATACCCTGGAAGATGCTAGAATCCATTCAGAAAGGATTTTAGCTCACCACCTGAAGGTAGTGATTTAGGATTCTTTTCCCTTTCATTGTGGGAAGCAAGGTACATAACAGACCTGGAACACACTCAAGCGTCTAGTGAGTCACCAATAAAGCCAGAACCCTAGTTTTGGGATTCCCAGAACTCCCAAATTTTCCCATGATGAGGGCCAGATTCTGGCTAGAAACTCTTCATTCCAATACACCAGGGTTCTATCTATCACCTGGCTTGTTTTATTAACCCCTTTGACTTTTTCACTGCCTACAAACAAGGTTATGACAGCAGGCCAGGCCTCTGGCACAATGCTCATGACTCTTGTGGTCACTAGCCTGGTGAATGTCACAGAGTGGTGTTCTAGAAATGCATGTTCAGAAAGAGCCTTCCCAGGAACACAGCAGCTGGGCTGACAGCCTTTCCGGGTATGGTCCCGCAGTGAGCAAAGGAAGGTCGGGCCCTATGATAAGGCGAACATGAGTTCTTTATCACTTATTGGGAGAATATCCTGTTGAAGTTCCAGACCTCGACCTAACCCTGCAGATTTAGGGGAAACTACAGGGTATAAGAAACAACTTTTTTGCCCAAGATGTGGGACTCTTACATTCTGTCTTCTAACACAGCACAAAGCAAAAGCAAAACAACAAATTAAACTGATTTCAGTCAAGTTTCTGCAAGAATTCCTCTGCTTTGATTCTGTTTGTCTTTATTTGGCTTCACTTGGATGAAAGCCAAAAGCAGAGACAGGATTTTGGCAGAAGGAATGTATCACAACACTTTTTTTTAATTTACAGAGATTCAACCCTCCCTCCTGCCCTATGAAGATTGAGGTGGGAGGGGTATCTATTCGCTTTTTGAAATGGAGTCTCTCTGTAATTTGGGCTGGCCTTGCAACTCACAGTGATCCTCCTGCCTCAGCCTCCCTAGTGCTGGGCTTACAGGTATATACCACCAGGTTCAGCTCAGTCTCATTTTGCTGATGAAAATTCGAGCCCTGTAAAGGGAAGGGTACTTGTATCAGGCTCTAACAACAATTAGGAGTAGAACCAGACTGAAATGCTCCCAGGAGCTGAGTGACCCCAAGAAAAGAACACACAGTGGCCATGGTACCAAAAAGCGTAACAGGCACAAAAGGCTATCTTTATCTACACATGGGAGTTGGCTCTTGGGGATGTAGGCGGTACCCACAGGGCAGGCCAATTGAGAGGAACAGACTGGCTTGAGAACACAACAGTGCAACAGCTCTACTGAGGAAATGTGAACCCAGGGGCACTTCCTGGAACTCCTCTGTACTTGTGAAGGGCACTGTGATCTCTGCTGCTGGTAACTGTCAAAAAAAGCAGACATCAAAAACTGAAAATTCAGCTTACTAGCCCAGAAAAAGGGACATATAAGTGCCTGGAAACACAGGTCAGGCACAGTTTTCAGGCTGTTCTGTTATTGTTCTAACTAGCTATTTCTTGGGGATCTGGCTCCCAGTTTCCTAACTGGGACGTTTACAAAGATTTCTGGCAGTAAATGCCAGTACAAGAGCCTGAATGCTAGGATCAATTCAGTGAAAGTTAAAACCTGCCCTCTTAAATAAGCTACTAAAATCAGATTTGTTCACCCAATATTAAACAAAATGCATGAAAAGACAATCTAGAACCCCCAGGAAGGCAGTCTGGAGTTCATATGGTATAGGGTCAGATGGACAGCTACGGAAGGGTGTGGAGAGAGCTTTTCCAGGAGGCAGCAAGGTAAGCAGTGGCTACAGGACATTTTTCCTAACAATCACCTATCAAACCAGTGAAAGGCCTTCAACATTTGCCTGAGTCAAGTTGGGCTTCAAGCTGTGAGGCTCTTCCAGTACACCTGTCTCTACCGAGACAATGTGAATCTCACCCAGACCCACCCTGCGACAAGCCAGCCATAGGGCAAACCTGGCTTCCCACCCTCTGCAACAGCCTTCTAATTTCTGCTTTTGTAGTATGTTTGGAAAGATGGGGATGCTGGGTTTCTTTTCTGGGTTTTCTGGATTTCAAGATACGGTTCTGGTGCGCAGCTGTGAAGTTCTAAACACAGTAGTAGCTGGGGAGAACTTTGAATTCCTTGACGCACAGGAGAATAATTACTGCGGGTGGAGGGCCCCTGGCTTGCTCCTGGACTTTCTGCTTGCTAAGAGCCTGCTGTACAGAGCAGGTGAGCGCAAGGCAGAAGCTACAGCACGCCCCCTCCACTCCCGTCCCCATACCACTGATTGGTCTCTAGCGCTTCCGTGCTGACACCAAGGCCAGAGGCTTCGAGCCCAGGAAGCAACGGTCCAGGTGGCTCTGGCGGCGGCAGCAAGGGGTTGCTGTCACTCGCACAACCACCATTATGGCCTGAGCGCAGGTGGTCCTTGAGCGTCTGCTTGTAGCGGAAGCTGCAGCCGCAGCTGGCACAGGGGTAGGGCCGCTCGCCGGTGTGTATGCGCTGATGCTTCATGAGGTGGTGTTTGCGGATGAAGCTCTTGCCACAGTGAGAGCATGGGAAGGGCCGTTCACCAGTGTGCAGCCGCCGGTGATTGAGTAGGTGCTCCTTGCGCATGAAGCTCTTGCTGCAGTCTGTGCACGGGTAAGGTCTCTCGCCTGTGTGGATCATCTGGTGACGGATGAGGGCTGAGTGGCTATTGAAGTCGATGCCACACTGTGGGCAGGAAAAGGGGCGCTCCTGCGCATGACCCCGCTGGTGCAGCAGCAAGCTGAGCTTCAGGCTGAAGCTGCGGCCACACTGCGTGCAGCGGAAGGGCCGCTCACTGGTGTGCGTGCGCCTATGGCTGCTGAGCCGTGCCTGGTCAGCAAAGCGCTTGGGGCAGTCAGGACAAGGGAAAGGGCGCTCCGTGCTGTTGTGGACTCGCAGGTGATATGTGAGTCTCGAGGGGTGCGCGAAGGTCCGGGAGCAGTGCGGGCAGGTGGGGGGTGTCTCACCAGCATGGTCCTGGGAGGCGCTGCCCAGGTCTGGCTGTGTGGGAAAGTGCTTAGGGCACTGGGCACAGGGAACAGGGTGCTCAGAGGTGTGGCCACATTGGTGGGTCAGCAGCATGTCCTGGGTAAGACTCTTGCCACAATGGTGGCAGAATATCTGCTCCCCGACAGGAGGCGGCAGTGGGTAGCTTCCCAACTGAGTGAATGTCACTTGTCCCTCGGAGGCCTCGGGCAGGTCAGAGGCTGCACGGCCAAAAGGTGTCATGGGTGTGGACTGTTGGCTTTTGAATGCCACATCTGAGAAAACATCCTTTGCTGCTGCAGCTGGGGCAGCAGAGAAGGTGACTGGTACCTCGGGGCACAAGGTGGCCGGAGCAAGACCTTCGGCTTTGATGATGAGGCCCTCCTCTGAAAGAAAGGACTCAAGAGTTATCTCTCTATGGACCTGCCGAGCTTTCTCCCAGACTTTGTGCTCCTGACTGCTCAGGCAAGGACTCCCTGCAGCCCAAGCACTGATGGAGATGTGCGCCTCCCTGTGGCAGATCATCAGGGAGTTTGAGGCTGTCCTCTAATGCTGCTCCCTGTCTGGGAAAGAAAAGCCTGGGCCTCAAGCCTCCCTGCTTCACTTTCATCATGCTTTGTTTATGCTTGTCCTGTCACCTGTTGCGATAAAATCACGTACTGACTTGTTTTCCTCTGTCCTACTGGATTCTCCATTAGGATCAGCTGTCTCTACTTTACCTGAAGACAAAGTACACATTTCTACTTCCACATCTTTGCTTATTCTGTTTTTGGGTTTTTCTTCCAGTACTAGGGATTGAATCTAGAGTCTTCGCAATGAGCTCCATCCTTTTATACTTTTTATTTTGAGATGGGGTCTCACTAAATGTCCCAGGCTGGCCTCAGACTTTCAGTCTTCCTGTCAGAGGCTCCTGAGTGCTGGAATGACAGGTGTGCTCCGCATGCCTGCTGTGCTCTCTTCTGTAGGACAGAGCCTCCCTTGTGCTGTCTCTGCATCTTTATGCCCCATCTGAGTATCTGAACTAGAAGGTATGTATGTTCCTTCATGTCTCCCCTCTTTTATTAACACTACCCTACTCGCTGTTGGCCTGTCACTGGGCATGCCTAACGTTGCTGTCTGTCTGCAGGGAAAGCTTCTGGAAGGGCAGAAACTGTACTTTCCAGAGCCTAAACTCAGAGCACAGAAGGTTTTAAAAACAGATTATATTAAGCTGTATTAACAGCTGGGTTCCTTATGACCTTGAGATCCTTTTTTATCATTCAAGTGTCAAAATGCAGATGGTGCTAAATACCTTACAAAGATTCTTCTCCCATCACCATTTTTTTTAACTGAAGGCTCTCAACATTTCCTTTGTACCTCCCTAGTGATATTTTGTCTACTGGTATCCTCCCAACCCACTCCTCACTTCTGGTCTATCTTTTCTAAGTGACCTGCAGATATTCTATCTTCCCCAGCCTTGAACTTCTTGTCTACCTATCAGCGCTTAGTTCTTTTAAGAATTTTAATTTGAAAAAAAAAAAAGAATTTTAATTTGCTTGTCTCTGTTGATGTTGTCTAGGGAATAAACCAGGGCCTTAGACAGCTAAGCACATGTTACCACTGATCTATGCCCCCAGCCCCAACTACTGCATTTTAACCTGTCTTTGCATTTAAGAATGTGTTTTGTCACTTACAGTTTACCTTAAAGGCCTCTTGGTTTCATTGCTAACTTGAGTGATCACGTCTCTTTCTCCTGCCCCTTCCTTGCCTCCAGGTCCTGTGTCAGGCAGATTCTCGGGTCTGTCCTGGTGTGGCCTGGGTCTGGGCAGAACAGCTCTTCAACCATCACTCACCTACATAGGTGCCTTTGTACACCTCGCTCTCCTTGGCCTCCTGGGGGGGCCCAACCTGAGGCTCCTCCTCCTGCTTGATCCAAGACAGAATATCTGACGTTGAAGGTCCAGGCTCTGAATGGGGGAGTGGAGGAGGAAATGGCCTTCAGGGACTTGGATTAGAAGGTAAACATAATCATTTTGGCCTGTTAAATACTGTTTTACCCAAAAACTTGTTTCTAACCAACCCTGGTCTGCGCCTCTATTTTTAGTCAGCTCATTTAAAAACAAGGCACAATTTTTATTTTGGAGATGACACCGTGAAATAAGCTGGAACCAACAGTAATTTTCATTTGATAGTTTTTTGTGTTTTGTAGTACTAGGGATTGAAGCCAAGGCCTTTGCACTGAGCAACATCCCGCCCTTTTTTAAGACATGGTATAAGTAAGTTGCTTAGCTGCCCAGGCTGAACATGTGATCCCTCGGTCTCAGCCTCCCTGAATGCTAGGATTATAGACATGCCGCCAGGCCTAGTTGGTAGTACTTACTCTTATGTTAACAATATTTTCATGTTTTTCTCCCACTTATGAAATAGTGGGGCAGGCAATATTTTTTCCCTTTAAGTAGAGACACCTATGAAGGTTAAATAAATTTCTGATAAGGAAGCGTTTACAGGTATACATCGTGTTAACAAAGATTTGCTTTAAAATACACCAGAGGGGCTAGGGATTTGGCTCAGTGGCATAAGTGCCTGCCTGGCAAGCTCGAGGTCTCAAGTTCAATCCCTAATACCTATAAACAAACAAATAAATAAAATAAAATAAAATTTTAAAAAAGCAAAGAAACAAGACTAACAAAAGAGTTTTTGGTTTTTAAAGAGTTAAGTAAAAGACAAGTATATTTTAAGAAGTACAAAGTTAAGTCAATTCAAATAGCATGCTTTGGAGTCCCAATTCTGGGGCTGTTTCCCAGGGATCATGTTATCTTTGCTTATTAAATCATACAGGTCACTGTTCCCCAAACTCTGACAGCGTGCAAACAGAATCTGCTAGTTCTTCAGGTCTTGGGGACTCTTTGTGAAAGGAAAGAGCGCCAGCTCTGAACGCTCTTCCTGCACATACACACACACGCACCTAAGAGCTTGCTCTTCCTGTCCAGGCCTAGATGACCTTCTCTGGCCAGTGCAGACACACGAGCAAGGTCTTGACAGTAAATTCAAGCTCTCCAAAGTTATTTCTCAAAAAAGCCTTGCAGACAGGTTATGGTTTTACTTTCAGAAAATGAACAGAACTATGCTCTGCTCGACATCTCTTAAATCAGCTAGAAAGTGTTAAAATCCAACAGTGTGATCAGAGCAGAAAAGGCTGGGTTAAGATTAGGCCTAGAGACTTCCCATGATGTGGAGAGAGCCCCAAACGGCAGGCTGCTTTTCCTATTGCTAACATGCACTGCATGTAAGCTCAAGCATCCTATGCACAGCCCAGCCTTACCTTTGCTTACATATACAACACAGAAAAAGGCAAGGTGCTATGAGTTGTGCAAGAGGAGCTCCTGAAAACCAAAGGATAAACTTCCATTCATCAGAAAACATGACTTTCACACATGCTTAACTGCTTTTCAGCTTTCTAAACAATGAATTAGTGCTCTAGGAACCTTCGACTGTGACTCCAGTGTTTCTGGCTTTTTGTTGCTATTGTCATTTAGCTTTAGTCCACTGAGTCACCTTAGGGTGTTGCTGTCCTTTCTTTGGCCTTTAGGTGGCTTTCCATGCTGCTCACACAGCCCCACATGCCCAGCTTCCTTCATTTCCAGCAGGACAAACCACCCCAAGCTCACCTGTGCACTTCCTACTCTGGGCTCAGAATTAGGGATTGCTGTGAAATGGGGTTTAGCAAAAAGGCTGCCACTGTCAATGAGTTCCCACTTCTTCTAGGCCCTGTCAGTGGACAACACTATAAGATACAGACTTCTCAGGAAAAGCAAAGTGTCATGAGCCCCTATTAATATTTGTTTCATATGGAAAAATACTGCATTGAAATTAAATTTTTTTATCTTAAATTGGCATCTTTCTTAACCCTGAAAACCTTAGTGTCTAATGACATTAATATAATCTTTGCTTAATCTGAATATGTGTTTCAAGATAATACTAACAGTATTAACAAAAACATAAATTCCAAGTTTTTTAGGATTGCTGTAGCCTCCAGAATATGTCTCTTTAGGGACATGCAATTAAAATACTGTTTTAAGGTCATCTGAAACAAATCTGTATGTAAGTTTAATATGTTTGATTTTTAAATTTTTTCTTAATTATGTAAAATGTTTACAGGGTTTTACAGTCAAAACTATAAAATAAGACATTTTCAGAGAAGTCTAGTTCCTATCTGTATTTCCTTCCCCACATAAGTAGCCACTCTGGTTGACTTTTCTTTTAATCTTCCATGTTTCTCTGTGAACACATAAATACATACAGAGTCATACTATTCCTCTTAACATAACGTGCCATATTACATAAACAATTCTATACTTTGATTCTAAACATTTTATTCTGGAGACTTCTCTATAGCAGTTTATAGAGACTCTCTGGTCTCTTTTATAGGTGCACCTTTGTTATAGCTGCACCATTATTTATTCAAAAGCTCTAGGCACTTGAATTCCTTCCAGTCTTTAGTTACAATATTAGTAGCCAACCATAAAAGCTATGAAGAACTAAACAAGTCATTGCTCTAGAAATGTAAACAGCTGTTGTTACTAGAGTTCACTGTTAAATATCAATACTGTATGCCAAACTTGGGACACTTCAAAAAGCTAACCTTATCTCTCCAATCTCCTTTTACTTTTTTTAAATTTCTGAGTCAGAGTCTCATTGTGCTGCTCAGCTGGTCTCGAAATCCTGGACTCAAACACAATAGCAACAAAACCTACAGCAGTCTCTAGAGCAGTTAGGAATACAGCATGTGTCACTACACTCAGCTTCCTTCTTTGTGAATGGGGAAGCCAAAAAGTCTCAACAGTTCCTCTAATCATTTAATAGATCAACAGGATTAAGGATTTATTTTATTAAAGTGCTGGTTCTTTTGCTAGCTGTTCCTCAGACAAAGGATTACTATCTAGAATATATAAAGAACTCAAAAAAAATCAGACCCCCCCCCCCCATATATTGACTGATTGATTGATTTTTGGTACCTGGGGATTGGACTCACAACCTTGCATTTGCTAGGCAGGTGCTTAAGCCACTGAGCTAAATCCCTGGCCCAGACACCGCCAAATTTAAAGACTCAATTCAAAAATGGGTGAATACACACACCTCTCAAATGAAAAAGTAAAAACAGAAAATATATGAAAAAAATGTTCAGCATCACTTATCATTCAAGGGAGGCAAATTACAACAACAAGATTCCACTTCACTCCAGAAAGAATAGCTGCTATCAAGAAATCAACCAGTAACAAATGATAGAAGAGATGTGGAAAAAAGGAACCTTCTCCACTCTTGATGGGAGTGTAGACTGATATAACTACTGTGGAAATCAGTTTGGAGAGTCCTCAAAAATTTAGGACTAGAGGTTCCATTCAACTCAGCTATTCCTCTTTTTGGTTTCTTCCTAAAAGAATTAAAAGCATCATACTACCCATGTTTATAGTGGCATAGTCTGTAATAACCCAGTCATGGAAACAGCCCAAATGCCCATCAACTGGTGAATGAATAAAGAAGACACAGGTTTTTTTTTTTTAATGCAATGGAGTACTACTGTGCCATAAAGATAAGTTTGAGACATCTTTAGATAAATGAATGCACCTTGAGACCATAATCTTAAGTGAAATAAATCAGACACACATGTAAATAAAGACCAAAATGTATAATAAGTATTGTGAAATAGGAAGAAAATGCTCAAATGGGGAGGGGAGCAAAGGCAGGGGGAGTGGAAAAGGAAAGAAAAGTACAAAAAAATGAGAAAAGCAGGAAAAAAAAATGGAAACAAAGTTTGTTATATTATGTATAGGTATAAATTCCCTATGATGAATGTAATCTTTATGTATACCTAAAATGTACCAATAAAATCTGACTGAAACATAAATAAATGAATAAAGGGTTCTCGCCACTGTTGTCATAGAAAGCATAGAATTCACTGGTGTCTACCATAAGCTGGTAAGACAGTTTAAGCGAGTGTGTAACATGAGTACCTTGAGACAGGGAAGGCAGGGAGCAGGAGGCTTGGCTACCAGATGACCAGCAGGGTCTGGTGCAGTCAGCTGTTGGTGGCAATACCTGCTGCCAGGTCACCGCAGTGGCACTGCACATGTATTCCTCACAGGCTGACGTGGGTACTTACAGGGCATGAAGTGAAAGTAAAATCATGGGATCATACAAGCAGCAGGCTTTGGAGAAAGCCAGAAAAACTACATACTGATCAGGTAAGAGGAACTGAGAAAGTACTAAGGTTTTCTATTTGAGAAACATTAAAAGTAGAAAGACTAATCACAAGAAAATCTAAAATTTTCATGTCTGCATTGGTTGTTATTTTAAGTATGAATTTGATTAATCTGATTTTGTACAGTTTAATCTGATATGGATTACGTTTTCTGAAAAGGGGCCAGAAATTCAAGATTCTGGGATTTGTGTAAAGGGCTTTTAAACAAAAGACACACTATGTTGAGATTCGGCTTCTTAAGAAAACACTAAAAATACCTGTGATGTGAAACTACCAATGTTAAAAATACAGATATTTTCTTAAAAAAATTTTTTTATGAAGTAAGTATGGAACTGTAGCAGCAGAGAAATGTGTTATTTTGAAATGCTACACTCTCTAAGTTTCACGATCCTGGTTTACAATAGGTTAAACTAGAGCTAGCATAAGTTAGGATATGTGCTGGTCATTGATTTTCTTCAGGACAAGATGGCCTTGTTGGACTGAAGTGACCAGAAATAAACATGGGCCAGTAGTACCAATAAATGTGGAATGGTGGTAACCAAAGACATTTTCCCCAGGACTGCAAGCTTTAGAAGTGTATTCTCCTACTGGGTTATTCAAGAATCTTGGCTTGAGTTCACGTCTTCTGAAGTAGAAGAGGTAGAAAATGGACTTTCAGTAACTATTCCACTTGAACTTTTCGGTAAATATTTTCTCCAAAAGAGTTCTAGAAGACTGGGAGTTCAGTATTAAAATGGCCAGTAGTCAAATAAGGACCATATACACATACCTGGTCTGCAGTCTGGCCCTAGTAATAGTTAACACACTTATATTTTTCTAGATTCTCTAGTCACTGCTACTGGCTACTAACTATATGAAATTTTTATTTAAAACATCAGGAATCAATGAGCCTTTCCCTACGAAGGGCATTATCACCTTTCTTCTTTTGTTGGGTTCTGATAATATTGGTAGAGATAATATTGCCTGTAAAGTGAATTCCAGGGCATTCAGACATAAAGAGGGTGCTACATCATATCAATACTATCCTCAAGTGTATGCTTTCATTATGTTTTCATTTAATTAGTGCATAGTAATTCTTCCCAAAGCTCTAAATGAACTAACAAAATAATACATTATGGGCCTAGCCAGGCATGGTAGCACATGCTTGTAATCCCAGCACTTGGGTGGCTGAGGCAGGAGGATCGTTGCAAGTTTGAGGCCAGCCTGAACTACAAAGTGAGCTGCATAGTGGGATTTTGCCTCAAAAAGACAAAACAAACAACCCCCCCAAAACTAAAACATTATGGGCCTCAGATTTTATAAGAAATATTGATAACAGCTGAGCATGGTGGCACAAGCCTGTCATCCCAGCACTTGGGAGGATGAGGCAGGAAGATCACTGCGAGTTGAAAGCCAACCTGGGCTATATAATGCCCAGTCTGAACTACATAGTGAGACCCTATGAAAGAAAAAGAAAATGGATAAATATCCAAATGTATCTCATAAAACTAAGGTTTCTAAAAGTACATCAGTATTCTAACACAAACATACTGGTCTAACAACAAATTTACAAAGTACATTAAAATTTCATAAACATGACACTGTTAAGAGAAGCTTCTTGCTCAAGAAGAAAAAAACATTAAGAAGGGATTTAATCAGTTAAATTAAAAATAATATATCAAAAAGGTATTTGTAAAATCCTGGGCAGGGGAAGTAGCTCAGTGGCACAGCACCTGCCTGGAAAGCATGAGGCCCTAGGTTCAATTCCTAGTACCAAAAATATATATATATATCCTCTCATTCACTCTCCCATCATTAGTTTCTCCCACCTAATTTATGTATAAGACACATGTCTCAACAATCAACAGTGTCTAATAATAGGAGACACTGTTGTCAGGAGAAGGGAAACTCAAAACAAGCCTGAGACTGTCTTTCCAGAGGCCTGTTGCAGGTTTGCCCTTAGCTGCAGATGGATCTCCACACTGATGTAAAACCTTTCCTAGATGATAGGAGTGGTTCCTGATGCCTCGATGATTTGCCCAACAGTGGTGTCCTTTCAGAGTCTAGAATCTGGGTCTGTCCTAAGGGAGTCTGAGAGATAGCCACCAATAAAAACCATGGGCACCAAGCGTCTGCTCTGGTAGACAGCATCCAGTATGTGTTGTTACAGGTCACTGCTGGAAGAACAAGATGTGTCCTGGGAGACACCCCTGGGAGAGGACCCTGGGAAGCTTGTCTCTAGTTCCCTCTCCCCTCCTTTTCCTTTTGCTGAAGTTGCTTTGTATGCTTCTGCGTAAATAAATGTTAGCTCTAGCACACAGGAGACTATGCATTGAATCCTGTATGCTTTTAAAAATGTGACATATTGGGGGCTGGAGGTTTAGCTCAGCGGCATAAGCACCTGCCTTGCAAGCAGGCAGTCGTGAGTTTGATCCCCGGTACCGATAAAAAGGAAAAAGACCAAAAAAAAAAAAAAAAAGTGACATATTGATTGGTCCAAGTTATATGAATTCTACTCTCATTTGGGTAAATATCTAGGTTTATAACTGATGCAAGAATAAAATCAGAGTATTAAATCAAACATATTATTTGTTCATTTTCAGTTTTAAATAAAAGGTATAAAGTATATAGACTGTCCAGAAATGAAGTTTAAAAAAACCAAAGTAAAAATAAATTCACTAAGCTGGGAGTGGTGGCACACACCTATAATCCTAGCACTAGGGAGGCTGAAGCAGGAGGATCACTGTGAGTTCAAGGCCAGCCTGGGCTACAAAGTGAATTCAAAACCAGCCCCAACCGCATAGTGAAACTCTGTCTCAAAAAGACAAAGAAAAAAAAGGAAAAAAAACCCCACTACACTATAGGCTAAATGAAATTTTGACACTTCATAATAAAATCAAATTACCTGTATCTTTTTTATCCATCCATCCAAATTACAATGTTATTCAGGTAATTATACCAGCTGAAGGCAATATCAATTAATAATGCAGACTAAAGAGTTCAATAATTAATGTTTTGTAATCAGTCCATCTTTATAGGCAATACTATTCATATCCATGATATAGATCAGTCAACCATTACATTGCCTAAAGGCAATCATCCACCCATTCTTAGAATATAATCCATGTGGCAGTAAAGCATACTACTCAAAACTCAAGAGAAGTTATACTCTACACCAGAACATTTCACTGTATATAAGAACAAATATTAAACCTTAAGTTAATCATATTCATGGTGAACTATTTAAAAGGAAATGTACTGACGTCGCTACTCGTTTAAAAATACATCAGATACAGGGTAGATCAGCTGAGTATGATGGTGCTTGCCAATGCAGAAATAGCTACACACGTGATAAAGAAGTTGGTAAAATGTTACTGTTAGTGTAAAATAGCTAGATGTTCACTATAAAATTACTTCGACTTTTCTGACTGAAAATTTGCCTAATAAAATAGAAAAAATAACAGTAGATGAGACCTAATAGAAGTTCATCTAACAGTGAGGTCTAGGGAATAAACTTTCTGACAGTAGTATCTTTAAGTGTTTATCCAGCAAAGGAAAAAACATACAAGAATTTTCTAATAGCAAGGATGGGATGTGAAAGAAGCAACACGGTTAGAATTCAGCTAGCAATCTTTCCACAGTGCTCTCCAGACCTGAGCACATCTACAGTTCCCAGGGTGGGGCAGCATCAGGGACCACTGACTAAGTGCACCTTGAGGACCACACGGATGCCTAGGACCTGCTGCCCCAGGTCAGTCATGCCTTCTCTCCAGCTGCTTCACTCCAGCAGGGCATGACTGCTTCCTGTCATGTACTTCAAAACCGCTGGGTCTCAGTCCTTTTTTCAGGGAACATATTTAATAACTCTAGGATGTGTGGTACTGATGGCTGAAGGCACAGGAAAGGAGATCTCTGAGCTCTCTTTTATATTTAAATGCCCAAAGTCGTAGGTGCTTTTCCACTGAATGGCTCTGGAAGCCTTGCTTACTTTATTCTGTGCCTTCTCCACCAGGAAAGGGAGATGAGGAGCAGATGCTGTGTGTCTCACTTACCTTCACTGGAGACTGCAGGAATCTCACTCTCCTCCGGGCCTGCCTGGTCCTCTGTGTTATGTTCTGCTTCTGGCTGAATCTGAGATAAGACATCAGGCTGACTCACAGCATAATCTACCAAGAGGAAAAAGGGACAGAGAGACAAATGAGCATGACATTTAATTGCTGTGAGAGAGAGATCTACAGTCCCAAGGAATTTCTTTTTGATGATTACTGTTCCCTATCTTGTCTACATCCAACTAAGGATGCTATCAACTCAGGAAAGCAGCCAGAGGACACAGGATATAGGAAAGGCATGTATGCTAGTCTGGCTTTGCCCATGGACTCCTTTCCTGGAGCAAGAAGTGACAATGTGCCCCCTGTAGGTGGGCAAGCCCCTTTCAATGTGAAGGATACTCAGGAAATCAGCAGGCACACTCATTACCCTGTACTTTATTCTGTGTCCCATCATCTGGCAAAAGGAGAAATTCTGATTTCCACTAAGTGTGTGTGAATTGGCCTCGGGGGCTTGGAACAAGGCTGAAGTGCATGAAGGCAGAGTAGGAAAAGGATATTACAGGAAGAGGACTCTCAGCCCTCTTGGAGACCAGTCTCACCCATGGAGATGAGAGACTCGAAGTTGCCCTTCATGATATTCTTGAAAAGTTCCTTTTGCCATTCTTCTAGTTTTTCCCACTCAGGAGTGGAAAAGTAGATGGAGACATCATCAAATGCCACAGGCACCTAGAATCACAATCACATGATTAGTTCTCCCCAAAGCAACAAGTTCAATAAATCTCCCCCCATTTGGTTCTGTATTGCTTTTTACTTTGTCAAAGGGTCATCAATAAATATTTCGAATAGCTCTGAACCAGCTTTGTTTACTGCTCACTTGTCATTAGCACAGCCCTGAATTCCACACTCGTGCAACAAAGCATGCAGCTAGCACCTTGCTTGAGGTATATTCAAGAACTTTACAGACCCTAAGAAAACTGCTCAATGCCATGCACATTAAAATTTAAGCTTTACTGAGCTTCCTCATATCACCTTTTGTTAAAACTACTGTTTGTGTGTTTAGACAGGGGCTCACTCTGTAATTCAGGCTGGCCTTGAACTCACTCACTATGTAGCTCAGGCTGGCCTCAAATTCATGATCTTTCTGCCCCAGGGCCCCAAGTGCTGGGATTAAGACATGTGCCATTATGTCTGGCTGCTTTTCCTTGCTAATCCTTGGCTTTTGAAGAAATCTGGTTTGGTTAAGGAAGGATCCAGGGAAGGAGTCCTATTCATTTTTCTTGTGTTCTGATCCACTGGACCTGGAAATGGGAAAGTTTTGATGTCAGGACCAGCCCTAAGGACCACCGAAATCCTCACTGATTTGGTTCCATATTTCTTTTTAAAGAGCTGTGAATGCCTCTTTTGATCTAGCCTGGGATTTTGATCACTAAAAGATGTTTGTTCTCTTTCTCTGGGCAGAATCTGATGTTGTTCTGAATACGTCTCTCTTTACTTTCTAACCGGTCTTTTTTCTGCTTTGGATCTTGGTTGGAGAAAGAGGGTCATCAGGGGTGTCACAGACTACCCTTGCGTGTCCTTCAAACATCACACTGTCTCCATTAAGGGCTGACTCTGTTTCCAATCCCTCCCTGCTGACCTCTGAGACACTTGCTTTCTCTTGCAGTCTCTTCAGTGTGTTTTCATGAAGAGATTTTCTCTTTCTAGGCAACTGCAGCTCACTGCAGTTTGATTAGGATTTTTCTCTGGATTTTTAGTTTGATTAGGATTTTTCTCTGGATTTTTTCAACCACCAAGTCTCTGCCCAGTGTCTCTGCAGTCTCTCCTTGCACATCTTCAATGTGGGCGCTGTTTCAACCTTCTTCTGTGCCCTTCAGCATCCCTTTGAACTCAGCAATTTATTCTCTGCCAAGTGAGGTCATATGGATCTGCAAACTGATGTGCTGTTTCACATCAGAATTTTCACTGTTTGCACTTCTTTGCATTTTCAGGGCTCACAATTTGTTGAAGTTTTAACCTAATGCTCTGAAGCTCCCTTCTGGCTTAGCCTGCTCTTCTGCCCTCGGAGAAGTCCAGTTTCTGTTCACTCGATCGTTTCTGGTTGCTTGCAGCATTTTCTCTAAATCTGACAATCCACTCTCAAATTCTAGCTTTTCATTTTATAAAACCATATTTCTAATGCCTTTATTATTTTACATATTCACAGTCTTTTTATTCTTTTCCTTTTCTTTTTAAAGAGTTCTCACTATGTTGCCCAGGTATCCTCCAACTGTTGCCTCAATTTCCAGAGTAGCTGAGGCCACAGGGACCATGGTGCTCAAGTCTTTTTCTGTTAGAGTGCTGTGTGGTGTTCGGAGCTGATTTGAGAGCTTCACCGACCAACTGTCCTGTTCACTTTCAATCTTAGTCCTTTCTCCTTCTCGCTCGCTGTAACTCTTGCCTCCAGTTTGATCTGTAATGTCTAGTTAGAGTATTAAGGGTTTTGTTTTGTTTTTTGGTACCAGGAATTAAACCCAGGGTTGTCATACTGAACTACACATCTACCCCTTTTTATTTTAATTTTGATAAAGTTTTACTAAGGATTCTCCTGCCTCAGTCTCCCTCAATATTGAGGTTACAGGCATGTATAACACTGTACCTACCATACTTTGAATATTAAATTCTTTAATGTATTCTTTTTTCAGTTTTATGCAACTGACTGATTTTAAAAGGTATTTTGTTCTCTCATTAGAGTTTTTGACTCAATGTATTTGCACTTTTAAGAGTTAATACTTTTTGTGGAGTTAATACCTGTAGCTTATTTCCCATAAGTCTTTAGTTTTCTCCAAATCTCCTTTTGGCTCTTCAAACATAACTGACCTTTTTCTTGGCGAGTTCACTCTTCACTGAACAGGCACTTGAGTTGATTTTATAACTTTATGTGCTTATTCTGCTAGTTGTATGTTCAGTTTTCAGAGTCTGACAAGATTTATGAAGTTTACACTTTTATCCTCCAGTGATTAACATTTTCTATAACTCACACTGAAAATTTGTCAGTTCATTCTCTCCACCAGGAAAAAATATGAAGTGTCCAGATTGGACAGTATGCTGATACCACATTAAAAAAAAAATAAGGTCTGGCCTTCTTACAGTATTTTTTCTTTCCAGGAGTAATTCTTATTTCCTCTTGCAAAGGTAGAAACTAAGCAGGCAAAATTGTACCAGATTCATACCCAGTCCTTACAATGAGTACGCATATGACTTAACGATGTGTGCTGTGGCCAGACTCTTCGTATAGCAGAGACTTCTGCAGCTCCAGCCATGTACGTTCACCAGAGTCATCTCACAGAGGCACTGGAATTGAGCCAGGTGGTCCTACACTCTTGTGCTGAGGTGGCTCACCAACCTGGCAGGAGGAGGTGGAGGAAGTAGAGAAGCAGCAAAAAAGGAGGCAGAGCAAGAAGGCAGAGAGAAGAATCAGAAATCTAAAGCATGCAGGAGAGCTGTGAAGGCAGGTGGCACCTGAGAAGAGCCCCACTGTCCACTGGGGGACCAAGCAGAACTCTCACCTGCTATTGCTCACTCCAGTCCCTCACTCAAAAAAAAATCTTTAAGTCTCCATTTAGTTGCAAAAAAATTATGTGAAGGAGTGAAAGGATACAGGACAAACAATGTGTCTAAGCCTCCATGAGTTCAGTGTTTGCACAGGGAAAGGAGAAAAACTCTGAGCTATGAATTATGAGAGAGTGGAGACCATTATTTGTAGTCACAAACAAGTTAGAAGCAACTGCAACACAATATTTCATTCAAATGTAAAACACTCTGGGGGCTGGGGATTTAGTTCAGCGGCATAAGCACCTGCCTGAGTTCAATCCCCAGTACCGATTAAAAAAAAAAAAAAAAAAAAAAAAAAACCACTCTGACCATCTACTACCCTAAGCACCAAGATTATAAAAATATGGTTTTGGAGCCAGGGGTCATGGCATGTGCTTGTAATCCCAGCTCTCTGGGAGGCTGAGGCAGGGGAATTGCAAATTTGGCCCCACTCGGGCAACCTAGTGAGATCATGTCCAGATAAAATTAAAAAGGGCTGGGGATATAGCTTAATGAAAATGTCTTGGATTCAATCTCCAATATCAAAAAGAAAAGAAAAAAAACGAAAAGATTTCTGCTCCAAAGGGACATAAGACTACATAAGCATTAATGACACTCATAATGAAGCTGGGGTGATCTTAAAAGAGATGGGATGGAACTCTGACTAGTCCTCATGAGAATGAGAGAAATATTTTTTTCCTTCATTTAATTTTTATTTTTTGGTACATTTTAGATACACATAATGATAACATTCATCATTGGCAATTTGTACCTGCACATGATATATCTTGTTGCTTCTTTTTTTTTTTTCTATTCCCCTCCCTTCTTTTCTACCCCTCTAGGGGAAAACATTTAAGAAGGAAAACCAAAGAGTGCCTTCTGATGGTTATGAATTTTGCATAGTTGGGTCCAAATTTTACATAAGGGAAGTCATATGCATAAACAGCTCTAAAGCATTTAGCCCTTAACAAAAACTAGGAGGTTTCACTGCAAATAAGCACAGTGTAAGAATCTCGGGGACCTGGAGGCATGAAGCTTCCTCACCTTGCACTGGCTGACATCATCCTGCCTTGCTCTCCCCCTCTCCTCCCTAGCAGCTTTTACAGTTTGGTTCTTATGCATGAACTAAGTATCAACAGCCACTTAGAAGAAGCCTATGATACAAACAAGAAAAAACCAGAAAGAAAAGAAGAAAAAAATTATCATGGGGAGATGGGAAGTGGCACAGAAATAGGGAACTGAATTACTAAATTTTAAAAAGCCTTTGATTAGTATTCCCTTGAATATCTGAGAAGACAATTTACCTATAAAGTAAAAACACCTATAAAGTTATGGAAAAGGGACAGGTGAGAAGAACAAGAGACTACTAGTGAATATGTAAATGTCTACATATAATTTGTATGTATGTAGAGGTATGTATGTATGTATACACGTGTATGTACATTTTTATCAAAAAGTAAAAAAAATTCAACAAAAGGACTGGAGAATAAAGTCACAACAATCTCTCAGAATACAGTATGGAGCTGGGCACAGTGGCACACACCTATGATCCCAGCACTCTGGAGGCTGAGGCAGCAGGGTCACCATGAGTTTAAGGCCAGCCTAGACCACCACATAGTGAGTTCATAGTGGTTCATGCTGGAAATCTTCATGTCCCTATAATTCTGATATTGACCAGCAGAGCAAGACCCTGTCTAAAAAAATACACACATATACACACACAGTATAGAGCAAAAAGGTAAAGATTAAATCTAGCAACTTCAGTACCTAATAAGAAAGCAAGAAGAAACGAACAAAGTATTTTTTCAAGTAATAAAAGTGAGTTTCCTAAGAGAATACAAATTTTCAGCGTATACTGTATGCATAATACAATAAAGGGAAAAAATCTATACTTAGACACATCATTATATTGCACATTTTACAAGTATGTAGCCATTCATCTTGGAAGTTTCTTTTTTAATGGTACTGGGAATAGAACTTACGATCTCACGCTTGTGAGACAGGCACTTATGCTGCTGAGCCAAAAGCCCTAGCCTTCCTGGGAAATTTCTTGAGCAGGCTCCTTTGCAAGGCAAATGAGTGAAGGAAACCTGGAACCTGAGACTCCTGGCTACAACAAAGGACAGGGGGAGGGAAGTCCCAGGACAAGAGCTGTGCGGGAGGTTAAGCAAGCAATCAACCCAGTTAGAGGAAGAGGAAGGGGATGCCCTTGGGGAAAAGAGAGCAAGGAAAAGGACAACGAGCTTAGAAAACTCACCATGGGAGTAAAGGTGCTTGGTGTGACTCTGTGTTTCTTACGATAACTGTTTGGGTTGGTGCAAATGAAGAAAAGCTGCCTCACATAAACATGAAACTAGCAAAGAGTGGGAATATTTAAAAGACTTCTCAGAGCCTGTGTAATTTTTCTTCCTTAATTGTACATCAAAATTTAACGAGCATTAGTGGCTTAATTGCTAGTTGCAATGTGAAATTTGACACAACAATGAATGATCTTTTTATACTTTTTGCTTTTGGGCAGTACTGGGGATTGAACCCAAAAAGTCCCAAGCTACATATCCAGCCCTTTTTCTTATTTTCTTTTCAGATTTTGAGACTAGATCTTGTTAAATGTCTTGACTTGCCTTAAAATTGCAGTCCTCCTGCCTGACCTTCCCAACTAGCTGGGACTGAAGGCACGTGCCACCATGCTTGCCTTCATGCCTTTTATCCTAAAATCTACAGACCAATACTGATGAGTCAACTAGTACTGAAGACTGAACCCAGGGTTCAGAGTTTTGAGACAGAGTCTTGCTAAATTGCTAATTTGCCCATGGTGGGTTCCAACTTGTGATACCCCTATCTCAGGCTTCCAGAGCACTGAGGTTATAGGTTATACATCACCACACGGCCTTCACACTGTATTTTTTTTGTACTGGGAATCAAACTCACTTGCACTTGCCAGGCAGGCACTGTGCTGCTGAGCTGTATTCCCGGCCTTATACTGTACTTTAAATGACCTTTTCCCATGTGTGACTTTTGTGACAGTCTGTGCCACTTGTTTGAAAAATACATATTCTCCCATTCGGGCAGACCTTCCCAATGTTGACATATTTCAAAATTGTTTAAAAATTGTATTAACATCACCACTAGCGAGGTGCGGTGGCACATACAAGTAATCCTAGCACTCAGGAGGCTGAAGCAAGAGGAGCACTGTGAGTTTGGGGCCATCCTGGGCTATATAAGTAAGTTCAAAGGCAGCTTACCCCATACTACATAACGAGACCCTGTTCTTCTCCCACCAAACAAATCAAAACCAAGAACGAAACCCATCACTTAGCAGAAAATACTTACTTTTGTCATTTATTTACTTTTTTGGTAAAGCCAGGATCTCACTATGTAGTTCAGGCTGGCCTTGAACTCACAGCCATCTTCCTGCCTCAGCCTCCCAAGTATTGGGATTACAGGTGTGTGCCATCACACCCAGCAAAAAAACTAAGTTTTAAAAATTTTATTTAAAGAAAGACTAAACAAAACAGAAAATGGGTAGAAATAGTACATACTTTCAAAGAAAAAATAAACAGTAAGAAATCACTAGTTGATGATTACGCATTGTCCTCTTACAAATAGTTGTTCAAGATACAAAAGTGAAACATACAAAGTAGAGATTCAAAAAGAGAGACAGCAAATGGTTCTGTTCAACTATCCAACAAAAACTTAGTAATATGGTTATCAATCCTACACACTTAAACATACATGCAGTTATCTATATCTTCATTTATGTTGAGATTAAACAAACCATAGCAGGCTAAAATCACTCGGAACAAAGAATAATAGTATTGCTGGATTTCACATCATGACACTCCAGGATCAGCACTGGGTACTGTAGTGTCTCTTTTTCTTCAAAGCATTTGTTCATTTCATCATGCTTTATAAGATCAGTTCTCGTAAACTGTTTATGGGTTCTACCCATGCGTGAGTCTTAACATGTATTTCTATCCTTTCTATATTAAAAGGAGAAACAAAACAAAGCAAGACAAAACAAAATTTATTCCTATAAACACATAAAACCATAGTACAAGGAGTGTTGTCTCTTGTTATCTTCAATAGAATTGTCTATATCATCAGACATAATATAATTGAATATAGCAGTACATAATAATATTAATAAAAACAAAACTTTGTAGATAGTGTAAAACTTCAAAAACAGGTAATAATCAAACCAGAATGGGTATCATAGTGAATTTTGTCATCTTCAGTGTAGTTGCCTATACTCTGAGACTTGATACAATCAATCATAACAGTTTTGAATAAAATCTGTTGATACCAAACAGCAATCAAACAAACCAGATTTAACTAAGATCAGTCATGATAAAACAGTATAAGTTATACAGGGCTCTAGATTAAGTTAATAGGAAATTAAAGATGATTACTGTACTATATCCTGTTATTTTTGGGATAGCTGTCTGTGCCCTCAGATCTAGTGCAAGCAGACAAACTGGGACAGACTAAAATCTATCTAAGCAGAGCAGTGCAAGTAATGTGGGTTTTAAATCCTGATACACTATTAACAGTATCCTCTGCCATCTTTTTTGATACTATTCCTTCCCTTTCACTCCCCCAGGGTGCACTATGCATTTTTGGGTCTCACCAACACCCTCAGTTTTTAGATTGTGGGGAGCAACCTGCTATTTACCTAAGTGGTTCTGCACCTTCTCCTTCCTGGACTTGATCTCTAGTTGTATTTCTTTACCTATTAAAGCCTGTCTTTCCAACTTATCTACAAGTACTGGTTGAGTTGCCCCTATTACTCTCTGGTTCCCTGTCACATAGAGCATTGTTTTCTCATACTTGATTTTTGGTCCATAAACTCTTTTTCAAGTTAATTATACTTCCTATAAAGAGCATCTTGGTGGACCCTACCTCCTGATCTACTCTGCCTGTGCTTCTTTTTTTTCCTTTTCTTTCTTTTTTTTTTTAGTGTATCAAGGCCATCTATATTAGAGATTATAGCCAACCTTCTCTGCCTCATTTCTGTTGTGCTCTTTTTCTGCATTAGTTCTCCTTTTCTTCTTCATTCCACTTTCTGTTCCATTCATTGAGGCCTCTCTGCCACTGTTTCTAGAATCCTGATACTTTTCTCTTTCTCTAGAATGTTCTTCAGCATTTTCTGTAGAGTTGGATTGGTGGTCACGAATTCCCCCAGTTCCTCTTTGTCTTGGAAGCATCTTGTTTCTCCATTAATTTCTAGAGACAGTTTTTCAGGGTACATCAATCTGGGCTGGAGGTTATTTTCTTTCGGGGCTTGGAATACTTGGCTCCAATCTTTTCTTGATTTGATGGTCTGTGTTGAGAAGTCTGCCGTGATTTTAATGGGTTTTCCTTTATAGGTGATCTGTTTCTTTTCTCTGATGACTTTTAATATTCTATTCTTATATTGAATTTCTGGGATCTTATTATATGCCTGGGTAGCTCTGTTTTGGTTGTAAGTGGCTGGAGTTCTGTATGCCTCATACATCTGAATATCATTTTCTTTTCCTATGCTTGGGAAGTTTTCTTAATTATTTCTGTGAATAGCCTTTGTAGTTCCTTTGTTTATATCCGATTCTTTATTCACATTCTTTATTCTAAGTTATAGATCCTCTTGTTGTCTTCTAGCCTTTGTATTATTACTGCCTGTTTCCTTGTTATTTTTAAGAAATTTTTCCTTTCATGATCCCACATTGCAAACCTGTCTTCCAGTTTGGATAATCTATCCTTAGTTTCTTTCAAGCAGTTTTGCCAGCTTTTAATGGAGTTTTTTATTTCCTGGTAATCTCTTTGAACCTGCTTCATTTATTCATGTTTTTTTTTATATTCTTCATCAAACGTTTCTCTCCCTTTTTTTGTGCTCCTCCATTCTTCTATCTGTGTCTTCTTGAGAGGTGCTTAGCATTCCTTTTATTAATCTACTTATATCTTGCTTTACTTGATTAAATATTTCACTTTTGAGCTTGTCTATGAGGTCCTGAAGGTATCTCTTTATGTCCACTGATGCCCTGTCTGATATTGAATGTTTGCCGTCCTCAATTTCTTTTGTATTTACCCCTCCTAGATCAATGTTCTCAGGGTTGGGGGCTGGGGACTTTTTCTTGTTGCTTCCTTTTCTCATGTTGTTTGTTTCTTTCATACAGGAGTATAGAGGAGGTCCTAGTCCCTTTCCTTGTTGGTTATGGTTCTTCTGAAGTGCACTGGCTAGGTAATCCTGCCCACTCCAGTGTGTTATTGAGGTGCAAACAGGGGTGGCGTATACTGGCCCCTCCCCTCCAGGTCATCAACCTGCTGAGGCCTTCACTGCGTTAGTGTGCACTGTGTAGGGAATTGGTTTGGAACAACTTATGGGTCTCAGCCAGGGGCATGACCCAGGCCAAGCATACCCCACCAATCTCATCTAGGAAGGGAACAACTGACTGAAGTCACTGCTGTTCCTTGTTCTTGCCAGTCCTGCCCAATTCCAAAATGTCGTCCCGTTGGTGCCCCTTTCCGGTGGAAGGGTTTTATTCCCGGCACTCACCACAGGTCGAGGCAGGTCCCTTGCTGGTTCCATTCTCCATTGAGCTCGCCGACCTTCAACTTCAGTGTGACTGCACTTCAGTGCGACTGCAGTTCCAGCCAGTCCAAGCAGTGGGAATTTGGGCGCACAAGAGCACAGAATCTTAGCTGCCTCAATAGTAGTCCTGAGACTGCATGTCTGACTGGTTCTTTTTGCATTAGTTTCTTCCTGGATTGAGAGGATCCATCTTCTTCTGTCCAGATCTCCCCATGATGTGTTATTTCGGCATCTGAGTTGTCTGTCTCAGGGAGCCTCTGTTTGCCATCTTTACTGGAACTCCAAAAAACTAAGTTTCAAGAAGCTGTTAAACTGCTAGGTAATAGATTCAAGTTTTTTGAAATTTAAATTTTTGTTTGAAAGTTCAATATTATCATTGGCTTGGGGCTGGGGATATAACTCAGTGGCACAAATGCCTGCCTAGGAAGCATAGGTTGTAAATTCAATCCCCAGCACACACACAAAAAAAATCATTGGCAGTAATTATTATTAATTATTTTCCCTAGATGAACTTTGACATTTTCAAATGTGTCAGTTATTCTTTTTTGGGTAAAAACGTTCTGTGAAAAAAATTTAGTTCAGTTTGCGACTGAACTACATCTAGTAGCTGAGGCAGTTTATGACTGAACACTGAGGCAGGCAGTGCAAGGTGTTATGTATTTCCCATGTTATCACACACAAAATTCAAAAGACAGGGCCTCAAGGGTCAATGTGTCTATATTTTGCTAATCAAGATGTTTTAGAGGAGGTGCTGGGGACTGAACCCAGATCCTTCACACAGAGCTACAGCCTCAGCCCTTTTTTACTTTTTATACTTGAGTCAGGATCTTGCTAAGTCACTAAGGTATCTATACTGGGCTCACACATGAAACCCTTCTGCCTCAGCCTCCCAGAGAGGCGGGATTACAGGCATGTACTATCAGAACTGGCTTCATGAAAACATTCAGAGATGCAAGTATCTTTTTTCTCTTGCTGTGAGTGCACAATGGTGAAGTTCATGAGTCCCCCTCGTGAATTCGTTGCCACTCTCTTGTACTACGTGTCAGCAGTTTTGTTGCCACCACTTTGGGATCATCAGTGCAAATGCTGACAATGAAAGGGTAAATGATGTCTGATGCTATTATGGAGGTAATGTCCTCACTGCCCCTCTGGAGCCTGTGGGTGGACAGACAGACCCCTGACAAAATATGTTGGGGACCAGACTATGTGACTGGAGTCCTGTAGTCTGGAGGCTGGTGCAACTATGTGGAATGAAAAAGTTCCTAACCACAGTATTCCTAAGACGAGATAACATCTGCTGAGGACAATCTAAAGAATGCAAGCATACTGACATGGAGAGGAACTTATTCTCCATTAACTCACCCCCAATCTATGACAGTTGCTGACAAGAGTAGTACACTACTCTGCACTTCCCACTTGCTAATAAAAGCTACTCTGTGCTTCTGGCTTGCTAATAAAAGTGGGTCAACCGGTGTGCCTAACCATTAGAGGCAGGTCTCTCCCTTGGACCTTGAATACTGTCTTCTGTCTTTCTTTACTCTCTGCTGTCCCCCCATAGGTATGGCTAGAATGGCTCTGATAGAGAATACATCTGAGTTCCATCACATGCACAGTTCACTGGAGAGATCTGGAGATGGCTTGGACAGGGGTCCTGAGCCACGACTGCTAAGAGACACAAATACAGAGTGAAACTGTGTGTGGCTTAAAGTGCGGAGTAAAGGGATAAAATTCAGAGAACAATTACTTTAGGTGTAGCACACTAGGGAAGGCTTTGTGAGAGGTAACTTTGAACTGGCCCTTAAGGACAGCAAGGACATTCTATGTCAAGATGACATGACCAGAGCAGGAGATGTAAGGGGCAGGCAAAGCAAAGCAGCTCCTCCAGTGTGGCTGGAGGGTGGGCACAGGCATAGACAGTGACAGGGCTCAATCAGGTTGATAGCTATGTAGTTCAGGCTGGCCTTGAACTCTCTATGTAGCCCAGGCTGGCTTCTAACTCTCCAAGACCCTCCTTCCTTAGCTTCCTGCATGCTGGATTATAAGAGTCAGCCACTATGCCCAGCATATAGATTAAGTATAGCTATTACTATTTTTTCCTAATTGTTTCACTTTGTTAATATCACCTTAACTAAAAACTTTGTTCTTTCAGGACAAGAATTGTAAACTACTCGTCTTTATGTCCTGCTCAGCAACTAACTTGGGCTACGAAATACAGAGTTCAAAATGCAATCATCTGGTTTTTTTTATCCAATCTTGCTCAAAAAGATGTATTTTAGATATAATAAAATAATGACAAAAATAAAGGATCATGATGAACTTTCTGTTTGAATTTGTACTTAGCATACTTTCCTCCTCTCCTAGAATTCCATTCAAATGAACTAAGTAAGGTCAGAAGGGACCACATCCCCAAAGGTACACAGAATGAGGAGGCCAGAGTACCTTGGCTTTAGATGAGGTTCCCACAGAGTGTCAGGAGCTGGGAGGGCACTGAACTCTGAGTGGTGTGATTGCATCTGACCCTGTATAGGAGTCTAGGAATCCAGAGGGATTCTGAACCCAAAGCCAGTGGGTACCCAGAGCAGGAGTAAGAGCCAGTTATGAAGCGCAATTCCAAGGGCTGTGTTTAGAACACTTCTACTTCTCTGCCACCCCATCAGCCCTGCAAGCGAGAGGTAGCAGCATCAACAACCCCAAAGCTGAGACCATAGCCTGTCTCTGAAGGAAGTTAGTTAGTCACCTCCCTGGAGACAGCCTGGATGGAGTCAGTCAGGCTGCTGACAACGCAGCGCAGTGCCTGATCCCAGGGTCCCTGACCTGTCTGTCTGCTCCTTGTCTGAGCACCCTCATGCAAAGCCCATCTCTCTGGGGCCACTGGTGTGGAGGAGGCTGCAGAGGCGGGGAGGACAGATCCTGACAGGAGGCAGAGGACAGATTCTGACATAAGCAGACCTGGTGCTGCAGGGGATGCACACCAACTGCCACTGATCATTAATGAATCTGATCCTTCACTTGTGACTATAAACAACCAGCCAGGATCACTCCATTCTCTAAAAACACTAACGGCACCAACATGAGCAATCCCAGGAGTGATACTAGAACAAAACACACCCAAATAAACCTCTAATACACATTCTCAACAAAATTCCAGAATACATTGCATCCATTAAACAAAAATTAAGGCAGCTTTTAAAAGAGTTGAAAATAAGTATTCCTGAAAATTAAATATATAATTGTTAAAATACAAATTAGAAACATCAAGGAACTCTAGAAAAATAGGTGCAAACCATGAATAAAAGGTTAAGAGATAAAAAACAATGATCTATAATCTATCAAACAATAGTACCAGAAAGAGACAGTAGAAAAAAGGAGGAGCAGGGAGAGGAAATATTATAAAAATAGAATTATAAGAGAAAACTACTCAGACCTGAAAATTCACCCATCTCCTTACTGAAACATCATACCGAATGTCCAATATAAATTCAAAAAGACCTACCTCTCCACAAATCCTCAACACATTTTAGAAAAGCAATTATAAACACTTCCAGAAATAAAATAATACAAAAACAGATTTTGCATTACATTTTTCATAAGTGATATTTGATGTTTTTAAGGCAAAAGCCCAATGACTTTAAAAGTCTGAGAGAAATGGAATATCATTCAGTCTCCAAAAAGGACATTCTGACTTGGGCTACAGATGGACGCATCTTCAGGTCATTATTAAATGAAACCAATGAGCACACCAAGTCACTCATGTGAGGCCCTAGAGTTGTCATGAATATTCACAGCCATAGAAAGAAGAGTGGTTACCAGGGGACAGAAGAAAGGGAGTGGGGAGTTAGCATTTTACCAGAATGTTTTCAGTTTAGGAAGAAGATGCAAAACAGCTGAAGGTACATGGGGGTTAAGACTGATTTCCTATTTCAATCTAGTTATTCTTTAAGATATTTTGACTAGAATTAAACTCATTTTTTTAAATTTTTGTTTTCAATTTTTTTGTTACCAGAGATTGAACCCACAACCTCATGCTGAAAAGCAGGTGCTTACGCTGCTGAGCTAAGTTCCCAGCTTAGAATTAAATACATTTTAACTTCATTAAGAAATCTTTCATGGGCTGGGGATTTAGCTCAGTGACTCAAGCACTTGCCTGTAAGTGCAAGGTCATGAGTTTGATCCACGGTACAAAAAAAAAAAAGAAATTTTTCAAAGAAATCACATTATTTTCTGTATGATTTTGGAGTGTAAGATGGACAGTTTAAAAGTTACTCACCCAGAGAAGAGTATTTCTTCTTTAGTGGGGTACTACTAACAAATGCAGCATCCAAGAGACCAGAAGTATACCAGGAGAGGCTCCCGATGTGAGGCCGCACAGTGGGATGCTCTCCATCAAAGCTCCTCTAGCAACTCTGCTTTCTGCACAGGAAGCCTGAGACAGTCTTCTCATTCAGCTGCTCCACCTGTACCTATCTGCACTCCTGAGACCTCACACTCACCTCCTATCTTCCAGACCCCCAGAGTACATGGCCCATGAACATGACAACTCTCTCCTTGAAAGCTCTTCTTACACCCCTACTCTTCTGTGGGATTTTCCCACCTCTGTGGCCCTTCCTGCTCCACATTCTCTCCTGGCTCCTCTTATCCTGTGGCTGGGCCCTGGGGCTCCCTTGTTTATTTACTCTCCCACTGAGGATGATCCTTTTCTCTCTCACAAGGGAAAGTATATCTCTGAATCAGTTACTCCCACATATTTCCCTGTCCCTTGAGCTTCAGGGTCCACTACACACCTCTCCCAAATTGTCACACAATCTCAAACCTAACACCATCCAGATGCCTCATTCCTTCCCAGTGAGGCCACACCTCCCTAAAGCATTTGCCTAACGAAATGCCAAGACCATCCATCCAGGTCTCCCTGCCAAGAGCTAAGAATCCATAAATCCACAGGGGCTAAGGGCGTATCCTCAGCCCACTGGGTTAAAATACAATTCTGCTATTTATAGTCAGTGACCACATCATCTTGGGCAAATTAGGGCTCTTATAAAAATTGTACGTCTTAAACTGGGGTGGGGGACACACACTTGTAATCCCAACATTCTGGGAAGCTGAGACAGGAGGATTCAAGTTGAGTTCTGTCTGGGGAATTCAGAGAGACCCCTTTCAAAATAAAAAATAGAAAATAGGTTGGGAATACAGTTCAGTGCAAAGGCCCTGAATTCACACCCCAGTACTCCCCAAAAAAGAACTACAGACCTTAAATTAAGTAACGCTCCCACTCAGTAAACTCTAATTGCTGCATAGTAATTGTCCTTCTTAGCTCATTTCTAACCTACCAGTCATCTTGTCATCAGTTCTACAATCACAATATCCCACTTCGGTCCACTCCTCTCCTCCCCACCACCGCTGCCCAGCCAAGCCATTCCGGCTCTCCTACTCTAGTGGCCTCGGTGGACACTCTTCTGTTCTCACCGGGAGCCATTTTCCACACAGCAGCCAGCACTTTCTTCAAACTACTCTGCAGACAAAATGCTGCTCCTGACACTTATATGTAAAATCCAAAGTCCTTTCTTCAGTCTTGAGTGCTTTCCTTTTCATTAGCAGTCACAACTCTAGCCACCAGGTAGAATCTCTAAGGAGCTTTCAGGGTCATCCAGGCTTCTGCTCTACCCAGGAGAATGCTGGCTAAAACTTTACAAGTGCCCCAGGTAACTTTTTTGCCCCAATACTAGGGACTGAACACAGGGTCTCTGCACTGAGCTACATCATTTTTATTTTGAAACAAAGTTTTGCCAAGTTGCTCAACTGCCCAGGCTGGGTTTGAACTTGCAGTCTTCCTGCCTCAGTCTCCCATAGCTCTGGGGTTACCAATGTGTCTGGTAGCCCCAGGTAATTCTTACCTTGGGCCATGTCAGAAAAGTACTACTCCACATAATCCAACCCTCTCCCCATTTATCCAGTTGTGTTCCCCTATTCAAGCTAAAGTTAACTGGCCTTCTTCCTTTTCCTTTTGTTATGAATGGATTTAAGCCTCTGGGACTTTATGCCAGGTCTTCTTTCACCTGGGAAGCACTTCCTCAGATGTCTCTTACTTGGGGTTCAGCCTTTGCTTAAATATTAGCTCTTTAATAAGACCTGCCTGACACTCATTTGAAAACAGATCATCAGAGACCACTTTGCTTTACTTTTATCAAAACATTTCAACGCATTTGTGTCTGTCTGTATTATCTTGCTTTCCCCGGGAAAATATAAACTCCAGGAAGCATTAATGAATTGTTCATTCTATGGTTTTCAGGATGTAGATCAAGCAAATAGGAAGTGTTCAAGAAATATATGTGGAGGGCCAGGATACAGCTCAACAGCACAGTGCCTGCCTGGCAAGCATGAGGTCATGAGTTCGATTCCTAGTACCAATAAAAGAAGAAAGAAGGAAGAAGGAAAGAAGTACGTGTGGAATAGATTATTGAGGAAACAAATAAGTGTATTTGAGAACTAGCTGCCCACAGTTGTCTTCCATAGCTTCAGAATGTTTACTACCTACTGCTTTATGTTTATTTCTTCCAGAAGGACAACGGCCTCCAGCATCTCAACCTGATCTACAGCACACCTCACCCCACAGATAATCACGGCCCCTTACAGTAATCCTTTATATTCCCAGGTGAAAGTCCCAGAAGCTCCAATCCATTCCTAACAAAAGGAAAAAGAAGGCCAGTATACCTTTTACCTTTGTCTTTCTCTAAACTTTTACAAAACTTGCTGACAAATTCACGTGGATAGATTAAAATGCCAAATTTAGTTTCCTCCCCCAGATTCTGCCAGACAGATTAACAAAGAAAGAAGTAAATTCTGAGGACTAAGAGAAAAGGAAAAAAGAATGTAGGTACTAAGTAACCAAACTCTGACTGGAAAGTTTTCCCACTTGAAGCTAACACTCTGGGCACTAGACTGAACACAGAATGCTTCCCAAATAAATGAACATAATACTTCTTCAAAGTGCCTAAGACATTTTAACACTCGCACCCATCCCTTACTGCTAGGGAAGGGTCTGTGACAGCATATCACAGTCAGTTATGGAGGTACCCTGTTACCTTTGGGACATCTCCTTTAACACCTGGGGGCAGACGCAGGATCCAAAAGTTTCGGTTGCGCAGCAGGTTCTCCAGGTTCTCCAGTCGCCGCTGCAGCAGCCCGTACTCCTGCAGCAGGGTCCCCAGCACGGCCCACTTGCCCTCCAGCTGGTTGCTGAGCTCGGTTACGGTCTTCTCACAGCTGGCCAGCTTCTTCTCAGCCGTCCCTGTTCTGCCTTCTAAGTGCAGGAGCCGCCGGTTGTGAACTTCCACCTTTCTCTCTATGGCCTGTACAGCTGCCACCACTGTCCACAGGGAGATGGCTGCGGTCTGCAAGTGTGCATCATTGGCAGCTGGGGGTGGTGGTAGCTGCAGAGGTTGCAGAGATGTAAGGCATTCCGTGTCCCATTCAGCAGTCTGTGTGCAGGGGACAAATGGGACAAGAAACTGAGTGTTAGGAGGAACCCTCAGTCCAGTCTGCAGTCAGGTGAGGACTGAGTAGCTGACTGGTTGAGGTGACTCTAAATGTCATTTTGGTAAGGTTTACAGTGCCTGTGTCACTCTAGAGCTCACTGGCATCCAAAACTAAGAAAACAGTTGTGGCAGTTCAGCCATGGACTTGAAAAGACAGTGAACATCCGGATGCAACTGGCTTTTTAAGAATCAGCCTGGCATGGCTCCTCAGGTTGCTATTGCCTCCTCTATCTGTGGAAAAGGCAGAAGTACTCAGGAGCCTTTCCTGAGCTCAGGGCCCAATAACTTTATAACCTGTATAAATTCATGCTTGGAGCCAGGCGTGGTGGCACACACCAGCAATTCCAGCTCTTGGGAGACTGAGACCAGAAAATTACATGAGTTCAAGGCCAGCCTGCATACTGCATAGTGCATAGTGTATGTATGTAAGCTGCATAGTGACAAACAAACAACAAATAATAATAATACAGCACCTGCTTGGAAAGTGCAAGGTCCCAAGCTCAATTCGCAGTCCAAAAGGAAGAGGAAGAAGAAGAAGAAGAAATAAATTCATACTCTGGCCCTGTCTACCCTCTACCCCCGTTCACATATACCACCAGTTGCATTAAGCTGAACGAGCTGAGGGTGTTGAGTCTAGAGAAAACATGACTGTTTCCTAATATTTGAGTTAGAAAACAGAACAGACTTGTCTAATCTTTGTGGTAATCCAAAAGGCAGATTAGAACCAACATATGAAGTTTCCTATAATAAATCATTTTAACTACTCCTTTCTAAGCAAGTAACAGGTTGCTCTATCACTGAACATACTGTGAAGCAAAGAATGGTATGTAAGGGAAATATTCCTACAACACATAGTAGGTTGGACTATGATGATCTCTACAAAGCCTTCTAACTCGGAACCCAATAAAGCAATTACTCTCTGGCCACAGCTCCTCTTCTCAGCTCAGGTACAACCTTATCCTCACCTGGTCTGCAACCCCATTAGTAAGAGCTCCAGCCTTGTGAAGGTCCCATTTGCTCCTGGGTTATCTGCCTGGCCTGGGCTTTGCATTCTTCCCTGCCATTTCAGTCACACTTCCATCATGTCTCTCTCACTTGGCCTATTCAAAGCTTTGAATCAGCCTGCTCCTGCTCAGTCTCGCTCTGGTACACTGGCCCCCCACCTTGCTGAAGGAAACCACCCAACAACTAGGATGCTAGCACACAGAGGACTCCGGCTTCGTGGGGGCCTCAGTGCTGCATGGTACCCTCTGGCTTCTTTTCCTGTCCCATAAAGTAGCTATTCCAAATCGTCAAAAACTACCGGGCATGGTGGCTCATGCCTGTAATCCTAGCACTCGGGAGGCTGAGGCAGGAGGATCGTTGCAAGTTCGAGACCAGCCTAGGCTACAAAGTGAGCTCAAGGCCAGCCTGAACTGCATAGTGAGACCCCATCTCAAAAAAAAAAAAAAAAAAAAAATCGTCAAAGACTGTGCATAAGAATCGACACAGATCTGGTTAAAATAGGATTTGGGGGACAAAAAACTTGGGAATGAGTCTGCTTTCACATTCACTTCTTCATACTCCTTCCCATTCCAAATGCATCAGTAATTTAATATATACTGTCTTCTTTCTTTCCCAAGGGAAAAATTTTAGCTTCATCTTCCATTTCCGCTCTGAATGCCAACCCTTCCACCTTTTAAGGTACTTTTTTTCATCAGTATGTTCATTTCTACCATTTTTTTCCCGTAAAATGGAATTTCCCTGATCTATACCATAGCTACTGTCTACAGATGGCCTCTGAGCACCTGAAATGTCCTCAGTTCCACTGAGACACGATTTGAGAATAAAATGCACAGGTGATTTCAAAATCTGAGTATGTAGGGGCTGGGGATTTAGCTCAGCGGCATAAGCGCCTGCCTTGCAAGCAGGCAGTCATCAGTTCGATCCCCGGTACCGATAATAAAAGACAAAAAAAAAAAAATCTGAGTATGTAAAATGCTGTACAATCTCAATGTTAACTTTCTAATGTTGATTACTATTGAAATAACATTTTGCAAAACGAGTTAAACAAGATATATCATTAAAATTAATTCTATTTCTTTCCCTTTTTAAACATGATTACTAGAGAATTTAAAAATATGTATGTAGCTTTCATTAAACTTCTACTGGACCGGGCGTGGTAGCGTATACTCGTAATACCAGTACTTGGGAGGTTGGGCAGGAGAATCTTGGAGTCTGAGGCCAATCTGGGCTACATAATGAGCTCAAGGCCAGCCTGCACTACAAAGCGTGACCCTGTTTCAAAAAAGAGAAAATAAAAAATTACTGCTGGCTACATACATGATTATCTTTACCAGAGGTTAAAAAAAAAAAAAGTTCCTTGAAAAATGAGAAAGTCCCAAAGTAAAATTGGCATTCCCCTGTGCGTCATTCCAAACTCGCTGCTGCTGCTGCTGCCCTGTCCTCCGCTTGCCGCTGCTCTGGCTCCTGAGCCACGGAAAGCAGCAGCTTTCCTGGAGAGGTCCAAGGCTTCTCAGACGGCAAGGTAAGGAACGCTCCTCATCCTAAAGGCAGTGCGCAGCAGCTGTCCCAGAAGCGTGTCCCCGGACCTGGTACCTTGCGGCGTGCTGGGCCCACGCAGGCCTGCGGCATCAGAGCGCACGCGGCTCCCCGCAAGGCCCCGGGCGCTCCGGATGCCGCCATGCCGCGTGGGGGTGCACACCTGGCTCCCAGCCACCCTTGCCGCATCGCAGGTGGCAGCGACGATGGGAACCGCGTGACGACAGCTCGGCAGCTGTGAGAATGGCTGGCGACCCTGACACCCCATGCTTCCAGGCGGCTCGCTGCGTCTCCCCGCTGGAAACCGCCCCCGGAGACCCCGGACCTCACCCCGAGGCGCAGGGCTGGAAACGCGGACGGGACAGCTCCTGGGACAGCCCGCCCGGCCCTCCTCCTCCCCGCATCCTCTCCCCCTGCCCCTCTTCCTCCACCTTCGCCGCCTCCTCCTCCTCCTCCTCGTCCAACGGCGCGAGTCGCGCTTACCGGAGCCGCGGCCGCCTCAGCCATGGTTCCGCCCTGCCCTGCCCGACCCGGCCCGGCCCGGCCCGGAGTCGCCGCCGCCCCTGCCCCACGCAGGCCCGGCTGCCCCGAGCTCTCTCAGGCGGTACGGCGCGCAGAGGCGCGTCCCTCTGTCTTGGCTTGGCGGTGCGACCTAGAGGCGCAGGCGGCAGGTTTGGCGGCGACAAGGGTTGTGCGACACCCTCCGGCAGCGGCCCCTCAGCGGCGCTTTGTGGGCAGCGAGTGAGCCGCGAGCCTCGCCGGCCTAGACGCGCCGCAGCCTGGCTCCGCCGCAGCCCCGCCGCGGCAGCGCGCCCCCTGGCGGCCCCCGAGGGCAGCGCGTCCTGCCGCAGCGATGCTGTGGCTACCTGCACCGAGGTTTGCTGCGCGGGACCCACGCTTGCTGTCTCGCGACCCTCGAGAAGCTCCAGTAGATGGTAACATAGGGCCAAGTCGCAAACTAGAGCGCACACTGGGGAGTGTTTTTCTCCTTCCAGGCCAAACTGGCAAGCAGCGCTTCTGCAGGATGACAGCCCGATTTAGCAAGGTGAGAATGGGTGGAGTGTGAGGTCCGGGGGTACCGGCTGGACCGAGCTCTTGGGATAGGAGAAAAATGAGAAGACACTCAAGTTTGTGGAATTTGTGGAAGTTACGCCTTTTCCAGGGAGGAGAAGTTCAAATCCCATGTGGTCAAGACCTGGATCGCTACCTCTCGGGTTTGGTGTGAGAATGGAAGGAGCGCTTGAGCTCCGCAAAAACACAGCTTGTGGTTGTGATTTGTTGCGTCTGTCTAAGGTTCAGGTTGTTAACAGTGGAGACTGTATTCAACCCTGTGTTGTGGTCAGGTAAACACATAATCCCTAGGTTTTGTGACACACCAGCTTCCAGACACGCAAACAGCAAAGCCCCCTCAACTCTATATTTCAACAATGAATCAGGTATTATAGTGCCCCTGACAGCAAAACTATCTATAAATCACGGAACTATGAGGACCATCTGTTTGGGCATCCTCTCTTGAACTTAGTCATTATTTGTAGACTGTTTTCACAGTTTTGTTTTTGTTTTTTGAAACAGGGTTTCGTTTTTAGAGTAGACTGGCCTTGAGCTCACTATAAGGTCTACCAGAGTATGCATTATAGTCAAATGGTGTATGTTTGATAGGGAAAATCGCCCTTGTCTGAATTAGAAAATCACCATAACAGAATGAACGTATAAAGATTTTTAAAGATCTAAAAAACATTAAAAGTAAAAATCTGAATTTTCTACCCCAGAAAATTGTTTTATAATTTTATTGTTTAAAATACAGTAGACCTCGAATTCAAAAGTGATTCTACTGCTTCAGCCTCCTGAGTACTGGAAAGCATATACGACATCTGGCCTGTCGTATGTAATTTTTTTAATTAAAAGCTCAAATCTTTATTATGTAAACCTTTCATCATAATTTCACTGGTAGTTAAGTGCCACAAAATACTATGAATTAAATAGCTGACAGACACA